ACCTGAGCTGAATTCAAGACCAGGCTAAGCAACATAACAAGACACATCACCACCAAAAAAAAGTGTGTCTGGAGCCAGGGGTTTAGCTCAGCGGCGTAAGTGCCTGTCTGGCAAATGTGAGGTTGTGAGTTCAGTCACCAATACCAAAAAAAAGTGTGTTTGTGAGGGAATAGACTGTTGTTCAAAAAAGATATACAAATCATCAAAAAGCATATTAAAAGATGCTCGACATCATTAGCCATCAAGGAAATACAAATCAAAACCATAATGAGTTACTACTTCTGCCGGCCAGGTCCACTATAACCAAAAAGACATCATAAGCTGGACATGGTGGCACATACCTGTAACTCCAGCACTTTGAAGGCTGAGACAGGAACAACCCCAGAGGCTGAGTGTGAGACCCTGTTTCCAAATGAGAGCTGGGAATATGGCTCAGTGAGAAAGCCCTTGGTTCAGTCTCCAACAAACGATAGTAAGTATAGGCAAACATGTGGACAAAATAGAACCTTCATATACTGATGACGAGAATGCAAAATGGTACAGTTGCTGTGGAGAACAATCTGGCTGTTCCTCCAAAGGCTAAATAGACTATACACCCAGAGACTTAGGTCCATACAGGAACTTTTTTTTTTTTTTTTTGAGACAGGGTCTCACTATATAACTCACAGCAGTTCTCCTGCCTCAGCTTCCCAAGTGCTAGAATCACGAGTGTGCCACCATGTCTGGGCTCCACACAGAAATTTATATGAGTGTTCATAACACTATTATTCACAATATCCCCAAACTGGATATTAGCTGATGAATGAATAAAATGTGATATAACCAATGGAATAGTATTTAACAACTAAAAGGAATAAAGTCTTGACACATTGTTACCTCATGAATGGACCTTGAAACATGCTAGGTGAAAGAGCCCAAACACCAAAGACCATAAATATGATTCCATTTATATGAAATGTCCATAATATGCAAATCTGTAGAGACAGACTGTGCGGTAGTGGTAATGAGTTTTAGGGGAACAGGGAATGTCCACTAATGGGGACAAGATTGCTGTTAGAGGTGATGAAAATCTCCTAAAATGGAATATGGCGATGACTACCCACCTCTGAATACATGAATATGAAAGACCATTGAACTTAAACAGATAAATTTTATGTTGTGAGAATTTTTTTCAATAAAGCTACTAGAATTAAACTAAACAAACAAACAAAAAAAACCCAAAGGTTTAATAGAAGGGACTGGTACCAATCCACAAGAAATTGAATTTTAATCTCTATTCCACTAATTCCACTACTTCTAGTAATTGGGAGCACATTACTAAACCTTTCTATGCTGTAGTGTTTTAGTTTTTGTTTGAGATAAGGTCTAGCCATGTGGCTTGGGCTGGCCTTCAACTAACTCTGTGGTCCAGGCTGGCTACAACTCAGGGTGATCCTGCCTCAGCCTCCTAGAGGGCTTGGGTCATGGATGTGCGTCATCACAGTCGCTCATGTTGGTTCTTAATAAGTTTAATTAATGTCACATAGGGATTCTCAGGGCTGGGGATTTAGCACAGCAGCATAAGCACCTGCCTTGCAAGCAGGTGGTCGTGAGTTCGATCCCCGTTACCGGTAAAAAAAAAAATCCAAATCACATAGGGATTCTTTATTCCTTGTTCACAAAGCATTGGATTAGAGTCAAAGATGACAGGTTTAAGATTTTCCATGTGGCCTTGCAGTCCAGGGGGAATTTATTGAAGTGACTGCATGTGAGAATTAAGTGGAGCTTAATAATTCTCCATTAAGCAGAAGGGTAAAAAGTAGCCACTTAGACCTGAAAATGAAACCAAGCCAAAAGGTACCCTGCAGTGGGAGGCAGTATCAGAAGTGGAATGCAGTATAGGACAGAGGTGTTCGATTTTATATGAGTAAAGAGAAAGGGCTGACTTTTCAATTTCTCCATTTCCACTTTTTTTTTTTTTTTTTTGGTACCAGGGATCAAACGGCCAACCTCACACTTGGCAGGCAGGCACTTATGCCACTGAGCTAAGTCCCCAGCCCCTCTATTTCTACTTAAAATACTCTGGAATGTATTCTGACAAGTGAATAGACAGGAAAAAAAATAGCATAAACACAAAAAGAAGGAAAATAATTAAGGATCTTGACTGCCTTTAACGAGTTAAGAATTAACTGCAGTTCAGAATCAGATAACATTGTTAGTGAATTAATGAGTTACAGTTTATACTGGGTCGCACATTTATACTAGTGGAAATCAAAGCTCTGTGTGTGTACGTGCGTGTGCGTGTGTTCTTAATAACTGACTTTCAGGCCAGTGAGGACTTAAGTAAAACATGAAAGTGGTAGTTCTTATTTTACACATTTCCTGAGATTAAAGCCAGACACACAATGCAGGAAAAAGTTGTATTAGATTTGTAGGTGCTGTGGATTTTGTAGTCTTTTCCTATAAGCTTTGTTTGACTAGAAGAAAAAAACTTACAAAGTAAGCCTACTCTCCAGTGTGGAGAATTGAATGGTGCTGTGCTTATGGGGCTTACAGGGCAAAAGCTGCTACAACGCCTTTGCATGAGCTCATCAGGCCTCCTACAAAAGGGCCTTTTGGCAGTGTGTGCTGACCAACTGCTGCACAGTGAGGGTCCCGCAGCTGGTTCAAATTAGATTCCCTCTGCCAAATCGTTCATAGTCAAATCTGTAGGGAAAACTTCCACCAGACTTTATATTTTGCAACATCTGATTTGGGATTAACAGTCAAACAATATGGTGGCATACCCCGGTCACTTTGCCCCTCAGTCTTGGGCCATTTGTGGAGTAATTTTGAAACTTCTTTAACTCTTTTGGAAATAACTGCTTAATTGTCATGTTCTAAGCAGTCAGCTCAGTAAAGCAATTCTCATAACTGTTTTGTAGACTTCTGGGGATTCCCTTTTCAACCGAGTCTGTAAATTCAAAGCTATTTTCATGGAAATCTTCAAGACTTTGGCTTTTTCACCTAGTTGACATTTACCTTGAAGGTCACTAAAACTACTGGTGCCTTTGTATAAATCATTCAAGCTAGCACCAACCTGATTTAGTAATCCTTTATGTTCTTCCCTGGGCTGACTTCCGGGGTGCAGAGGGGACAGTGACAGTTTAATTTTTTTAATCTTTATTTTTTATTGGTAGATATTTATCTATACTGATACATATTCATATTCATACGTAGTATATATTTATACATATTAATCACATTCATCATAGGGAATTTTACCTTGTATAATATATCTTAAATTCTTTTTTTTTCCATGACAGTTTAAAATGTCTTTATTGAGCTGGGCGTGTTGCGCATGCCTATTAATCCCAGCACTCTGGAAGCTGAGATAGGAAGATCCTGCAAATTCACCAGCCTGGGCTACAAAGTGAGCTCAAACCTGAACTGCCTAGAGAGGCCCTGTCTCAAAAAAAGAGTAAATAAAATATCTTTATCGAAATACTAAAACTTAATGGTTTTAATTCATCTTGACCTCTGAGTATTTATCTTAATATTCTGTGTGATGAGATGAGAGGTTCATTACTCTGAGAGCACTTTTGCCTCATACTGAAGTATGCTACAGCAGCTGTCTTAAGGAAAAGCATGGGTGTGATTGATTGTGAGCTGAACTGCGTATGAGACATCCCTTTGTGTATGTGACTAGAGGTCAAACATAGGGGCATTTCGCTACATCGTTGGCACACACACCCCCCCTTTTTTTTTTATTGGTGCCAGGGATTAAAATCACGATCATGTTCTTGTAAGGTAGGCACTTATGCTGCTGACCTAAATCCCCAGTCCCTTTGACCCCCTTTTTATTTTTTATTTTGGAGACAGAGTCTTACTAACTTTCCCAGGCAGGACCTGAACTTATAAGAGAGCCTCCGGAAGCGTTGGGATTATAGGATTACACTGCTGTGCCTGGCTAGAACACCACTTCTTACGTGGAAGAACAACGACTAACAAGCTGGTTACTTAGGCTTAGGTTAAATCTTTTCTACAGTAACAGAAATGAGTCTGTCACTTAATGAAAACACTGATAGTATTTGTTGCCAATGATAAAATCGTAACTTCCAAGAAAAAATTAGAATTCTGGAACTACTTTGGATACTCAAATACGTAGAATCATGCAGTATTTGTCTTTTTTGATTTGCTTATGCAATGTAATGTCCTCAAGATTCATCTCTATGGTAAATTACAGCAGGATTTTCTTTTTAGATTGAATATTTCATTATATGAAATATACCATGGCAATTTTTTTTTTTTTTTTTTTTTGAGACAAAGTCTCACTGTGTAGTCCAGGCTGGCCTTGAACTCACTATGTAGATTAGGCTGACCAACTCAAGTTGATCCTCCTGCCTTAGCCTCTCCAGTTCTGGGATTTCATGCATGTGTCACCACAACTGACACTTTTTTTAAAACTGAGAAACTCAGGGCCACCCTTCCACTGAACTATGTCCTTATATCTTTTTTTTTGTTTGTTTTTTGAGATAAGATCTAAATTGCCTAGGCTGACGTCAAACTTAAAATTCTCCTGCCTCAGCCATCCAAGTAGCTGGGATTACAGACATGAGAAGCATGTGCCACTGCACCCAACTCTTCAGTTTTTCTTGCTTGTTTGTTTGTTTGTTTGAGACAGTCTTACCATGTAGTCCAGGCTGGCTTTGAACTCAACTGTGTTGCCCAGGCTGGCCTCAAATTCACAGCAAACATCCTGCCTCAACCTCCTATATGCTGGAATTACAGGCATGCACTACAACACCTAGCTAGATAATCCATGAAGACTTTATCCTTTCAGGCTGTGACACCAGGAGTCATTATATAGGAAAACAAAATAGTATCTACTTGAAAATAGTATACAGTAATATTGTTTTGAAATATTCTTATCCAAAACTCCTTGTGGCATTTGTAAATTTCTGTTTCTCAAGGAACAAAAATTCCTGACATTTCCCTCTGATAATGTAGTAAATACTTTCGATCTCTGCTCTTTGCCCTAGGTTGGTTCATTCTGGCTCTGGATGTCGCTCGCCCTCCCTTGGATCTGACCTCACATTTGCTACACGGACAGGCTCTCGGCAGGGCATTGAGATGCATCTTTTCCGGGTGGAGACGCATCGGGACCTGTCAACCTGGACCAGGATACTAGTGCAGGGTTGCCATGCTGCTGCTGAGCTGATCAAGGAAGTCTCTCTAGGTAGAGATGCTGGCATTTTATTTCTAGGCATAATTTTGTATTTTTAGTTTTGGGGTTTTGTTGTTACTTGTTTGTCCATTTGTTGAGCCAAGGTGTTGACATGTAGTCCAAGCCAACGTTGAACACATTATAGAGCCCAAGTTGGTCTCAAACTCACAGCCTTCCAAGAGCTGGGATTATAGGCATTTGTCACCATGCCTGGCTCCTAACAGTAATTAAACGGAATTTTAGGCTTTCTTTTAAAGTAAAACCATTATGTGTGCCAGACCATGAGATGTACTAAAATAATGGCAATTTCAAGTGGCAGTGATAGAAGAAAGCTTTGTGTCTCTGTTTCACAAGGAAAATTCCTGTAATCCTGGAATATGGCTCTGAGCACATTAATAACACCCTGTGTTTTTACTGTCTGTCATTTAAATCAGCATTTAATAGTGAAGGACTCATCTGTTAAGTACTAGATACACTGACTGTAGTTAGGAAGATTTGGGATCTAAGTTATGGACAGGCATTCTTAAATATGAGCATCTGGCAAGCTTGTGGCTATAGAAAAATGAAGAGTTTGGAATAGGAGTTTTTCTTCAAAAAGTTTGAAAATGCCCAGCACTTACCCTAGGTTCTGAAGAAATAAATGTTGGTGTCCTGTTCCATTGTGGACGCGCCCTCTTGTGGCTATTAAGTGCTTCTGAACTGCGTACTGTAAATCTATGTATGTATAAAGATTCCACACTGCTTTTCATTTTAATATGGTCAGCATGGCTGGGCCTTGAATTGGGGCCTTTTAGGAATTTGAGAGTACTGGCTCCAAAACCAGTACTTTAAGCCCCTGCATTTCTCTCAAGAGGTCTGTCTGTCTCTTTCTTTCTTTCTCTCTCTTTTTTCTTTGTTGTGTTGTGTTGCTTGTTTTGGGGTTTTTTTTTTTTTGGTTTTTTTTTTTTTTTTTTTTTTTTTTTGAGACAGGGTCTTGTTATACCGTTCAAGCTGGCCTTGAACTAGTGATCTTTCTGCCTTAGCCTCCTAAGTGCTGGGATTATAGGCATAGATTATCATACCTGACTCAAGACAACTCATTCTTGTGACTAGGTTAAAGGCCTGAAGGATATACACTATCAGTCTGGCTTAATTCATTAAATCAATGTTTACTGAAAATTTTAATAATGATCAAGTGCTGTGCTTTATAATGACAGCAGTAAAAATAAATAAGACCTTCTTTATGCCCCATACTAAAGAGTAAACACAGTGTCATCCGGTGTGGTGTTTATGGCTATAACTCCAGCACTCTGGCTGAAGCAGGAGGATCCAAATTTCTAGCCAGCCCTCAGCAGTTTGGGTACTTAGCAAGACCTTGTCTCAAGGCGGGGCAGAGAGGGGACTGGAGATGAGGCTCAGTGCAAAGGCCCTGGCTTCAATCTCTAGTACCACAGCAAACCTTCAAAAACAAACCTACAGCGTCATTTCTTCTTTACTCCGGGGGTGATTAGCTCGTTGATTATACCTGATGGAGTGATTTTTTCTTAGATGTAGTCGCCAGAAATGCTGCCCAGCCTTTCCCTGACATAGCCTGAGCAGACCACTCCCCTCCACCTTGCTCTGCAAGGCCCACACAGCTCTGTGGCACACAAATACACGTCACTGGCCTCTGCTCCATCCCTAACTCCAAAGACAGTTATAGACTACTTCTATGTTTTTGTTTTGTTTTGTTTTGTTTTGTTTGTCTCTTGCTGTACTTGAGACTGAACCTAGAGCCTCATGAATGCCAGGCAAATGTGGTACCACTGAGCCACAGCCCGTTGAGACAGGGTTTTGTTAAATGCTCAAGTAAGCCTCAAAACTTAGAATCTTCTTGGGACTGGGGATTTAGCTCAGTGGCATAAGTGCCTGCCTTCCAAGCAGGCAGTCGTGAGTTCGATCCCTGATACCGATAAAAATGAAAAAGACAAAAAAAAAAAAAACAAAGAATCTTCTTTCCTCAGCCTCCTGAAGAACTGGATTATAGGCATGTGCCATTATATACTTATTCTTTATTTTTTGGTGAGACAGGGTCTTGCTATGTACTTACATACTTATACAATCAAGAAAAATAATAATTTTTACTAACTTGAAGATTAACATAATCATCACTAATTGTACTTATAACCAAGTATTAATACTCTGTATTACCAACCTCCACCCCCAGTTACACAGTAGAAATACCTAAGGAGTATGTGTGTGAGAGAGATGCTGGGGATATAAGTCATACCTTCAGCGTGCTAAGCACTGTACCACTGAACTATAGCCTCAGCTTCCAGAAAGCTTTTTAATAGTATAATGACCAGCCAGGCTTTGTAGAGCATACCTATAATCCCAGCATTCTGGGAGCCTGAGTCAGGAGGATTGGAAGGAAGTTCAAACCCAGCTGGGCTACACAGCCAGACCCCATCTCAAACAAACATTACAAAAAATAGCTGGAGAAGTAGCTCAGGGCAAAGACTGTGTGTTCAAGTCTCAGTAATGTGAATTGAATTAACTAGGATACTGGAAATCTCACAGAATATTTTAACAGCCTACTAGGGTTGAGTACCAATGCTCTTGATTTTTAGACAAAAAAAAATGTGATAAACAGTCATAACTACTGATTAAAATTAATATGTATAACTCTGAACATACTAAAACCATTGAGTTGTGCACTACCTGAGCTGTATCTCAGTAAAGCCATTATTTTAACCACTGTAATAACTGAAACTTTAAAGGTGAACTTTAAAAGCTGTATATTGAGTTTAAGGCCAAACTGAACTAGATAGTAAGATCCTATCTCAAAAAAACAAAAATAAATTTTAAAAAATAAAATGCATATTATTCATGATTTAGGGAGCTGTTCATTGAAAAACTTTACTTAAAATCATTGTTTTAGCTAGGCATAGTAGCATACACCTGTAATTCCAGCACTTGGGAGGCTGAGGCGGGCGGATCTTTGGGTGTTTGAGACCAGCCTGGGCTAGAAAGTGAGCTCAAGCTTAGCCTGAACCACATACCAAGACCCTGTCTCAAAAAGACAAAAATAAATAAATAAATAAAATTAATTATAGTTAATTAACATTAATAAATTAGATTAAAAATTAATTAAATATTTTATATTTATAAATAAAATAAAATCACTGGTCTTGGGGGACTGGAGATGTAGTTCAGTGGTAGAGCATGTGCCTTAGCCTGGGTGAGGCCCTGGAGTCAACCCCCAGTACCTCCACGAATGATTGGCCTGAGGTGAGTGATTCCTGGCTTTATGTGGTTTGTCCACACATAGGCCTGGCCCTCTACCATCTCCCACTGCATTCCCACCACCATGTCCAGCATTGCCGGTGTTTGATGGCATAAGTTTTAACAAAGAGATGATTCTCAGAGACAAGACGAAGATGTCAGTTATGAAACCCTGAAAGTTTACTTTAAACTAATTCTGGCACTCAGTGCTCATTTAACAAAGTGGCCTTTATAATTTTCATTGTTATTTAAAAATCAAGCTGAGTGGCAGGGGGTTTAGCTCAAAGGCATAAGCGTGCCTGCCTGGCTAAGCGCTAGGTCATCCTGAGTTCCATCCCCAGTACCAAAATAAATAAATAAAATAAATAAAGCTCACGTGGTAGTATTTTAAAAAATAAAATAAAATACAAATAATAAAATAAAATCAAGCTGAGGGGCCAGAATATAGCTCAGTGGCACAGCACCTGCCTGGCAAGCAAGATGCTGTCATGAGTTCAATTCCTGGTATCAAAAATTCCTGGTAAATTAAAATCAAGCTGAATAACACCTCTCCTAAGCCTTTTTCTGTTGCCTGTCCTCTGTCCTGTGGCTTTTCCCACATGTCTCATCCTTCCCCTCTGCCCATATTTCCCGCCTTCTTCTCTGGCATGTCTGAACAGTCAGTTTTTTATTCTGCTATGTCTCCCAGGACCTAACACAGTATCTGGCACATAACAAGGGCCCAAAGCAATTCCTTTTTTCCTCAAGTATACATTGGTTGCAATTATAGGTCGGTCTGTCCTCGCGGTTGACCTATGAGAGCAGAGAGCTGAAGAAATATAAATGAATAAATTAAATATACAAATAATGAACTAAGACATAATTCATGATTCCACTGGGTAGTTTGTTTTGCGGTATATTTTCTGTTATTCTGAGACCAGGCTAATGAAGTTGCTTCCTGTGTATTCAGCTCTTCCTCTGATATCATTCTTGTTGTTTTGTTTTGTTTTGTTTTGTTTTGTTTTGTTTTGTTTTGTTGTACGGGGGATCGAACAACCTTGTGCTTGCCAGGCAGGTTCTTATGCTGCTGAGCTAACCCCAAGCCAATACCATTCTTCTTTGTATTCAACAAAAGGAGCTGAAGCACTGACTACTGGACAGTTTGTTCTATTTATCTCTTTCGCTTGGGTATCTCAAAAACAGTCGGTGTTTTCCCCTTCCAAACCACAATATCTAACGTCCTGTCATTGTCCTTGAATGCTGCTGTTATTGTCTTTTATATTTTGGTAATCTTATTAATAAAATAAATGTATTAAATTTTTTACTGAATTACCTATATATTAAGGTAGATGGTGGATTTATGACCATCCAAAACAGTTTTGAGTGAATCAACACATGACGATAGCTATAATAAGCCACTTGTAACAACAAAGAAAGACCTGAAACCTTCAGCGAGTGAGAGAGGGAGGCGTCAGGCTCTGAATCACTATAGTTTAAAATGCTTCAAGCACAATTTAGGAATAAACTATTTAATATTATTTGGCATGATTTTTTTCCCTTTGGTACTGGGGATTGAACCCAGGACTTTGCACTGACTTCCACCCATACCCCTTTTATTTTGAGGCAGGGTCTCACTAGGTTGCTAAGTTGCCCAGGCTAGGCCTAAACTTGAGATCCTTCTGCCTCAGCCTCTCAAAGTGCTGGGGTGACAGACATGTGCCTCCATGCCTGGGTTATGCATAAAATTTATAAATTTAAATTACAGTGGTGTGTCTGTATGCCTTGTTAATTGCTTCTGGGAGGCATGATGAGTACTACATTGTTTTGGCTGGAAACTTTAGCTTGTCAAGAGGCAATCAACACGGACAGTCTCTAGCTTGCACACCAAATACCAAACAAATGCCTGGGATAAAACTTTCATGATAAAATTCCTAAAGTACCAAAGTCTACCAGTGTCAAAGTAGCCAAGTACAAGATATGACTGTATAACCCAAATTCTAGACTGAAACATATTTAATGTGATCTTTATTTTTCTTTTTCAAGCTTGAGATAATCATAAACAAGAGTCTGTTTTTTTTAACAAAACACATGTTTCTTCTCCTTTCGTCCTGAGGGGAAACAATTCAAAACAGAATACACAAGAAGTTCCTTACACAGCAAGCTTGCTGTACTGTTGCTGGCTCACCTTGCACAGCTTTGATTGCCTGTCTCGTCCCACTGTGACACACCTGCCAGCTCACTAACTCACCACCTGCTCTGTACCTTCTCCCTGTACCTTCTGCTGCCCTGCCTTGGGTAATCCTTGCTTTGGAGCTTTCTGTCCTACAGCTGATCCTCTGCTCTCTGTGGACCTCAATACCTTGACTGTGCTGTAGCTTTAGGGATGTCAGTGGAACCATAGCTTGGTTGCCTGATTGGGGTCTGGCTGTTCCTCCAAACCCCTGCTAGTGATGGTGAACTTTTTAGAGCTTTCAGTGATACAGACAGTCTGCTGCAGCCCTCCTGCCTTAGGTTCGCCCGAGGCCATTCATTTAGAGATCAGTGCATTGGATTACTTCTACATACAGGGGAATAATCTTATCCATCTTTAGCTCCTTTCACCTGTGGTCAGGTTTCTTTCCTGAGGGTAACCACTATTCAAAGTCTGTTGCCCCTGACTCTTCTTTGAGTAAGACCGAAAGGAATGTCACCAATATTTATCTCTATTGTTTTTGTGGTATTAGGGATTGATCCCAGGCCTATTACAGGAAGCTGCATACTTAGCCCTTTTTAAAATTTTTTATTTGGAGGTAAAGTCTGTATTGCTAAATTGCCCAGGCTGGGCTCAAATTTATAATCCTCCCATCTCAGTCTCCAGAATACTGGGATTACAGGTGTGCACCACCACACCTGGCTTTATCTGTTCTTTTTCCTTACTTCCTAAACATACCAGCTGCCTTCACTTACGGTGTGTTTTTGTATATCTAGTGAAAGAATACATTGCCCTCATAGGACTTCCTGCTTAAGGAGCTATTCTTTCTGGTTAAATCAGATCTAACCGAGCATAACCTAATTTGGATCCTTGGATAATTTTAAATTCAGCTCTTTGAAAAGTATGCTAATTCCCAAATCCCAGAGAGTCTCTCACTGGTAGACCCTGGATTAACAACAAATCTGTTTTCAAATGTTAATGAAACAAATTTCAAGAGCTTTGGTAGAAGGTGTTTGCCATTTTGATCACCAAGGCTGTTTGTATCCTGTCAACTCAGATGTATGCTTTGACTTGCATCTTTGAAAGGACTGACTGTATAACTTTTGTGGAGCACCGGCTTTTCCTTTGCAAAACTTGTTTCCCAAATACCAGCTGAGCAGTGTTCAGCCCTCATAGCATCTCTGGCTTTGCTCCTTTATTTCTTTCTTCTTCTTGCTTACTCCTTCTTCTTGCCCACTCCTCCTTCTATCCCTGCCTTTTGAGTTTCGTCCTTTCCTTGTGGCCTACCTAAATGCAGTGTCTTCCAGGAAACCTTTCCTTGACTTTGACCTTACTCAGTTTGGTGTTTAATCATTTTCTATACGTTATACTTTTATACAGTTGAGGTCACTTGCAATCCCCAAAGTTCAGGAGGCTGAGGCAGGAGCACTGCAAGTTTAAGACCAGCCTGGGTAACACGTTGACTTGATAAGACCTTGCTTAAAAAGAATATAAAGGAAAAAAAAAAAATTTAAAAAAAAAAAAAAAAGAATATAAAGGGGCTGGGGATTTAGCTCAGCGGCATAAGCGCCTGCCTTGCAAGCGTGTGGTCATGAGTTCAATCCCTGGTACTGGTAAAAATACAAAATATATATATATATGAGCAGGTCTTGGGGGCGCTCAATGCAGAGGCCCTGGGTTGAGTCCCCAGTCACGCAGGGAGGAGGAGCGTTGGGGATTGATAACGATGCCTATGTCTTCATGAATTCCCCTACAGCAATGACCGTGCCCCCTCCTCCTCTGTTACCACCATGTGTACATGGCCCCACACACTTGCCTGCATAACTGTCCAGTTGATGCTCACATGACCTCAGTCTCGGTCAAGTCAAGTTTTTGGCTCCAGTGAGCAAAACAATCCACTTGAGAAGGTTCTGAGTACATTCTCAAAAAGATTTTTTCTTTTTTTGAAGCCAGAAAAAAATCCTTTTTCACTTGATAACAGAGAAGGAACTTTATTAATAATTTTTTCCATTTGTCTTTGACAGGCTGCACATTAAATGGCCAAGAGGTGAAATTCACGGTGCATTATGAGAATGGGTTCACCATCTGCAGGGAGAACGGAGGCGCTGGTGCCGTGCTGTTCCGCTACCCCTTTGAAAGGCTGAAAATGTCTGCTGATGACGGCATCAGAAATCTCTATCTGGATTTTGGTGGTCCTGAGGGAGAACTGGTGAGAGTAAATCTGAAAACCGTCTTATACTTACTGTTTATTCTCTTTGTTTCTTGCTGGATAGACAGAAGATAATTATGGCCTGCTATTTCATTTGGAGTCAGGAAATTATTCTTCAGTTTTCAAGACAGCACTGGATTTAAGTTTTTGTTGCAGTTTTCTTCCCCACACATTAAAAAACCGTTCTCACTTCTTTTTTTTTTAAGGTTTTTTATGGTAGAAAAAAAGTAATTTGTGTGTGTATGTTACTGAGGATGGATCTCAAGGATTCATACATGCTAGGCTATATACTTTAAGACAGTATTTTTTTGTTGTTTATTTGTTTTGTTTTGTTTTTCTCTGTGTGGTGATATGCTCCTGTAATCCCAGCCCTCGGGAGGGAGGCTGAGGCAGGAGGATCGCTCTAAGTTCAAGACCAGCCTGGGCTACAAAGTAAGTTCAAGACCAGCCTAAACTGCATAGCAAAATTCTGTCTCAAAAAGACAAAAACTAACTGAAGAAAAGAAAAATTTCAGTCATACTTTTTCATTTGGAAATTGGAGGTCTGTGCTTAGTAAAGGTAAAATGGCCTCCTAACTAACCCCAGGAATTATCTATCCTTCTAACCACCAACCTAGTAAAGGATATCCGGAGTCACACCCACCATGGTCATGCTTCAGCTAAGCTCACTGTGATTCCATCTGGAAAACAGAATTACAATCAGTGCCCTCTATATTGGACAGTCTTTTTTTTAATGTCTTTTTGACTGGCTCTTCCTATGTAGTTCAGGATGGTCGTGAACTTTCTGTGTAGCTCAAGCTGGCCTCAAACTCACAGTGATCCTTCTGCTTCAGCATCCTGAGTACTGAGATTGCAGATGTGTGTCGCTGTGCCTGGCTCCTGTTTATTTTAAATTCTCTACATTTTAGTTCTTGCAGGCATGGTGGAATCCACTACACCACCAGGTGTTTCCTAAGTGTGATCATGGGACCTCACCACAATGACGCATTATGACATGGAATAGATTTACTTTATAGCACACTTCTGTTTGTTGTTTCTGTTCCTAAGAGTTTCTGTAACTCCAGCGTTTTGTTATTATCGTTCTGGGGAGGGAACTCAAAGCTTCACACACACTAAGCATACATTCCACCAGTGAGCTACACTCCTATCCCCTCCAATTTATTTTTAAAGTAGAACACCTTGTGCTGGGAATATAGCTCAGTGGCACGGTGCCAGCCTGACAAGCATGAGGTCATGAGTTCAATTCCTGGTACCAAAAATGAATAAATAAAGTAGAACATCTGATATCAATGTGTTTATCTGGCATCTTTCTAAGTTAAAGTCTATGTATATGGTAGTGATAATGAATGTCTCTTCTCCACAGACCATGGACCTGCATTCTTGTCCAAAGCCAATTGTATTTGTGTTGCACACATTCTTGTCAGCAAAAGTCACTCGCATGGGACTGCTTGTCTGAGCAGCAAGACGTCAGAAAAGAAGCTTGACTGTCACCAAAAGTATTTTCACCTCAAAAAAAAAAGAGAAGAAGAAAGAAGAAAAAAAAGCACAAAAGAAAGCTCTTTGCTCTCTCTCCTCTAGTACAGTGCCTTCCCAAGGACCTGCAAATCACTGCTGAACCGTAACTGGGTTTAAAGAATAGGCTACATTGGCCAGAAATTCTAGGATTTTATTAAGCTCCAAAATGAAGCTGTTGACTTATTGTCTCATTTCATAATGTGGTTTATAAGTAATCAGGTTTATTTCCCCAGTTAAAAATGGTGGCTTTTTGCTTTTTGTTTGTTTGCTGCAGGGCTTTTTTTGGATATAGTCAAATAGCCATCCAAGAGCTGTTTCCTTTCTCTTATTCCTGCAGGGCTTGTTTCAGGCTTGGCCTTGACTTCTTTCTTCGGTGAATTTCCCTTCCCAGGTGCTAGTGTGCAGCGGCCTGCTGCTTCATGCTCATCTCAGATAGGCTGATGCTTCATTAGCTTTTACCGTCCTCACCTGCTCCCCTAATCCTGTGACACTCTTGAGTTGCATCACCAAAGGGTTCTTGCGCCGCCTGTCCTGGCTCATGCTCCATCAGGTCTGCCCTTCACCACTTTGCCCATCGTCAGCTTTATTGAGCATAAGTGCTAACTTTAGGATTCAGAAACTGCAGAATTTGATTTGCCTTGCTACTCCTTTTCTGGCAGTGACCAGGTTGAAATGCAGTTTGGAAATAACTGCACTGGAAGGAAAGTTTTACTTGTTTTAACCTTTTCTGATTTTATCTTTGGTAGGAGCCAGGGTATAAGATTTATTTTAAAAGAAAATCCTCATTTTAAGCTAAGCCATCTTTTATTGCTTACCAAATGTGCCTTTTGTTAGGATTAGTGGAGCCCAATCAGTCACTATTTGAATAACTGGGTATCACTACCATTCCAGGGATATCATCTTTCCTAGTTTCAAGACGTAGTCTTCAAAGTGGGTTTCTTTAATGGCATCTTCTAGTGGCCAGATCCTTTTGAGAAAGATAAACCTCAAGCGCCAGCCTGTTTTAAGAGTAGACTTTTTGGGTGAATCCAACTCTTAAAGCACAATACCATATCAAGTTGTTTGGGCTGTGTGAGTCCACATAGGACCTGGCCTAGCCTTCGTCCTCTTTTAGCAGCAGAGTAGGCTGGACATGCAGCTGCCAGCTCAAGACATCGCTTTGGCTTCATGAGGAATCCTGCAGTGAGCTCACGGCATGATTACCTTTGTTTGGTAACCCTTGCCAGGTGTCAGTACTAGGTTACAACAGCAGTAAGAATGCTGATTTTTATGATCTTGGAGGATTCATTTTGTTTTCCTAATTTAAAAGAGGTATCTATCTTTGACGACATTTAAAATAATATTATTATAATATCTGTATAACATGCCCAAATTAGCGTGGTCCCTAGATCTAAAAGAAAAGGAAATACTGACTTTGATGTTGTGTGTGCTATCTAAAGAATGGTACAGAAGTAATTCTTTTCTAGGCTATCAGGAGCTCCACGGGAAAGTGGGAGCACAGCATCGGGTGGAGGCAGGTGGCCTTACAGATGCATGGGGACCACAGCTGCACACACAAACCCTGAGCTTCGTGGCTGGGGTGTGCACCCACTGCCAGGGGGTCTGAAGGAGCAGGCACCTGAACACACATGTAACCCCGGTTCTCCCTCTGCCCATCCACTAGGCCTTCTTCCCTGTGAAGTGAGACTAAAGGGGTGTGGAGGTGGGGCAGAGATGCCTGTCCTTCCTCCCGCTTCACATAAGTAAAAATGAGTAAACTAAGCCACTTAAAACTGGAAATATAAATCTAGACAAGAATATCTGCAGGAGCTTTTCGTGTTTTAAAAATTAGTAAACCCAGCTGGGCATAGTGGAGCACACCTGTATCCCAGCTGCTCAGGGGCCAGCCTGGGCAACTTCACAAAACCCATCTCAGAAAAAATTAAACATGAAAATTCAGAAACCTGATGTCGGTTCCACCTGAGATATGTTTGCAGTTTGAGAGGAAAAAGTGTTTTGATTTCTGGAAGCAAAATTTCAACAAATAATAAGAGAATTTGGCCATTTATTATTAAGATGAGGTGCTGAGTGATACATTCACGAATTTGAGCAGCACTGACAGTCACTGACGTTTTCTATGTTAAAGGCAAAGCCAGTGAGATCTACATTCGACCTTCAGGGCCACCCTGCTCATTAAGAACACCATGAAAGTCTGTAAGAGGGTGTGATTAACATGGGCAGGAAGGGCAAGGCATGTGTACATTTCAACTCATTATGTTCAAGTTTAATTGTCATGTAGCGCTGAGGCCCACAGAGTTGGTAATGGTATCTTAGAGTCTGACGTGAAACAAAAGCATAGTGGAAAGATTTTGTCCACCAGGAGCTCCACACCAAGAGCCCTGAGCTGGTTGTCTTACCTACTTTAACAGCCTTCCGTCATGAGGAGTCCAGGTGGTTCTTCAATCAAGCATGTTGAAAGAATTTGCAAATCAAATTAAGTGCTTCTTTGAGTGAGACAACTTAATATGTATGTGTTTTGTATTTCGATACCAAAATATGGCTGTTTTCAAGTAATGACTCAAATGTACATTTTGATGTTTCACCTTTTTTATAGAACCAGCTAAATTATCATTTCCTTTCGCTTGGAGTTAGAAAAATTGTTGGGGATATGATGGGCTCCCCTGTCGAGAATGGAAAGAAACTGCCCCATAATCCATCATCCCCACCCCACATTCAGATGGACTGTTCCCTGCCCTCCAGGACTTGGGTTTAGGCATCTTCTCTGCATTCCACGCAGATGTCTAAAAGTAGTCAGTGTGTATGTGAACAGTCTTCTTCTTTCCCTAAAACTTCCCTCCTTTCTTCCCATAAAAAGGAAAGGAAGGGGCTAAACGAAATAATTCCATTTTTCTCTTTTTGAAAAAGGTAAGGCCTTACCTGAAGTCTTTAAACAAAACTTATCTGGAAATTAGTATCTAATATTTTATGTGAAGAAATACTTAAATGTATGTTTATACAGTATTTATTAGTTTTAACTGTAGACCTACCTAACTAGGCCGGGCATGGTGGTGCATGCCTGTAATCCCAGCACTTGGGAGGCTGAGGCAAGAGGATCACTATGAGTTCAAGATCAGTTTGAACTACATAGCGAGACCCTGTCTCAAAAAAACAAAAAAAGAGAGAGAGAGAAGAAACCTAGCTACTTAGTAGACAGGGTTCCAGGTAAAATATTGTGACACATACAGGCAATCAAAAATGTTATTTTAGATACCATTCTTCTGTTTTAAAGCCATGTTTTAGCACTTTTTACACCGGGGAAAGTCTTACAGTGCCTGTTTTTTAATCACCTGAACTCTCACAAACTTTGTCACTTAAAATTTTTGCATAGCAGGAGTGATTGAATTATTTTTAAGCTGAAAAATCTGACCAACAAATGTTATATATAACAGATGGCTAATGTTCATTAAATGTTTATAAACATTAGCCATTTGTTATACTGAGTACTTGTTTTCCTAATTTATCTTTTAAGTAGAATGGCAACAAAGCTTTTTTAGCTGATTAAATGTGCTTAGCTGATGAACCAAAATTTATTCTTTAAAAAAATTAAACTGGAATCTGAACAAGATTGTATTTCTCCCCAAAAAAGGCTTAGCTGTAAATGGTTTTATAGACAAAAGTGTGTGAAAAATGATTTTTTAAAAATTTTTGTGAGAAAGTAAAGGACTTCTACTTTAATTTATATGCATGTGGATGTATTTGCTTTCAAAACTATGGAAGAATGTGTCCATGTTTTTAATGCAAATTGCCTTCTAAGCTGCTATGCAAATTTATTTAAAAAAAAAAAAAAAAAACCCTACCTGCTTAAAGAGTTAAACTTTTTGAAAACTTTCAGGGAAGACCTGTAGACTCGAGCACTTTCTCTGCTTTTTGTATCTTTATCTTGGATACTTGCATTGAATTATGTTCATTATTTTCACTGGTTATAAGCTATTGATTGTATGTAGTACTTAAACTCTCCAAATATCCAGCATACATTTCCATGTGGCTGCCATCAGCTGTGGATGCCATGAACGAAATGGCTGGTTAGAAAGCCAAAGGTCTTTTTTCAATCCTTAATGCAGATGTAAAATGCTAAATCTCTTAGGTTTCAAAGCAAATCTTAATAACTGTGTAGTGAAAAGAGGCTTATTTAAATTTGAGATTCTGCAGTGAGTCATATTCATTCTCCTTACCTATCTATCAGCTATAATATATGTGCCGGTGGGATTATGTTCTACTTTAAATTGGGAAATCTTTCACTGAATGTGGCTTTTCTTTTTCCAGCTGAAGATAAAAGGAGAAAATCTATCCTTTCCCACTCTGTATCTTTTAATTGCTTAATAATCTAGAATTATTTTGTCTTTCTACCAAAAAGTCAATAGCAGCAGTCTGCACTCCCCTCATTTTAAGCTCTGACTTTCACTATGTTGAGTACAATGAATGTGTGATAGTAGTTTTAAAATCATTATGCTATATTTCAGGATTACGTGTTTGTGAGCAATGTAGCTATTTGTAGGCTGTAACGATGTTAGATCAAGTTTATTTTACTCTAGTAATACTGGTTAAGTGGCTGATCTGAACCCCTTTCTCTTAAAAAAAAAAAAACTAAATGTGTGGTAGATCAGTGATACAGGTTTGTTCTGATAAAGGAGGAAATTTCAAGTTAAAGGTAAGGTACAAAGGTGTCAGGGACCTGGGTTCAAGGACAAGGTACACTAAATAGTCACAGAACACATCTGTTTTCTTGTTTCTTTTTGACACTGGTTAAACTGCCAGCTAGAAGGAAGGTTGTTACACATTAACTCAAAAGAGTATTTTAAGAGATGTTTGTCTCTTTGTTTGTTTGTTTTGGTGCTAGGGATTGAACCCAGTACCTCCTGCATGTTAAGCATGTTTTACTACCGAGCTACACTCCCAGCTTTTCATTTACTTCAAAACATAAACAAGTTTAATCTCTTGCCACTTTTACTCTTCCTTTCCACTGGGAGTGACTGAACCAAAGCACATCTTAGTTTTAGAAGTAAATCTATGTTTAATGTAATGGATAAATGTCTTGACCAGTTGATTGTATTCAGCAAACTGCAATCTTTGAATTGGCCCATTTAAATTAGAGCAGATAAAACTAAAAACCTGTAATACAGAAATGATACATCATTACATTGTAGGACTAGGAATCCTGGTTGGATTTCCACACCCTGAACCCTTTATTTTCTTCCCGTATCAGGGATCGAACTCATGACCACACGCTTGCAAGGCAGGCGCTTATGCTGCTGAGCAAAACCCCCAGCCCCATCTTTTTTGTCTTTTTAAAACAGGGTCTCACTCGGCAGTTCAGGCTGGCCTTGAGCTCCCTTTTGGCACAGGCTGGTCTGGAACTCAGTGATCCTCCTGCCTCAGCCTTCTGAGTGCTGGGATTATAGACATGAGCCACCAGTACTCAGCATGAACCCTCTATTCTCCTCAGTTTGTAGTAGTCTCACTTCCATGCTGTTGATACAGCTCTTACATTTTTGAGTCCCTCTTTATCCCAGTCACAAACACGCCCTCAACCCTGACTGTTCTGGCACTTCTCCCAAAGTGACATAAATCTCTTGTAACTATACAGAAAGTTCTTTGAGGATTTGGAGAAACTTTTAAACTACAAAGCTGGTTAATGACGTTAATTCATTTATTTGTTCATCTATTTAGCATTTATTAATGTATATTTCTGTACCAGACAGTCAACGATCCAAAGATATTTCCTGCCATCAAGTACCACACAATCTACTATTCCTCAATTTCACCATGCCATCTCTCTCCATCAGCAGTTAGGTAAATTAACCACTTCATATTTTTACCAAAGTATATCCACAGTTCTACTTATCTGCATATGGTGAACTGGAAATTGTTTTGAAAGGATACTTGGACCTTGACCCATGCCAATAAGAAGAGATCCAACCATATTTGAGTAGGTTGGTCTTTTTTTTTTTTTTTTTTTTTTAGTTGTTGTTATTATTTTGGGGGGTTTTTTTGTTTGCTTTTGAGACAGGGTTTCACTGTGTAGTTCAGGCTGGTCTGGACTCACCATGTAGCCTAGGCTTCCCTCTAATTTACAGCAATCTTCCTGCCTCAGCTTCCCAAGTGCTGCAATTACAGGCATGTGCCACCACCCAGCCAAGTAGGTTGGTCTTTTCATTATGTGTAATCTCAAAATGAAAAATCAAGCAGTAGTTTGGGAAAGAACACTGTACATAAGGTAAATCATAACAGAAATTAACTTCTGTTGCTGAAAGATCAGTGGGAAAGGTGCTTTTAAAATTCCTTTTAATTCTAACTGCAAAGATAAATGTGTATTTCCTCATTCCTTCTTTCTAAATTTTGCTAACCCACTCATTTCCACACAAACCATTTAAGGGGCTGGGGATTTAGCTCAGTGGCATAAGCGCCTGCCTTGCAAGTGAGTGGTCATGAGTTCAATCCCTGGTACCAATAAAAAAAGAAAAAGAAAAAAAAATACTGAGACACAAACCATTTAAGCATCTCATTTGCTGAAAGTATTTGTTAAGGGGCTGGGAATTTAGCTCAGCGGCATAAGCACCTGCCTTGCAAGCAGGCGGTCGTGAGTTTGATCCCTGGTACCAATAAAAAGGAAAAAGACAAAAAAAAAAAAAAGCATTTGTCCATGGTGGAGTGTGTCTCCACTCATGATCAATCAAATTGAAGATATTTAAAACTCAGCAAAACTCTCCACTTACCCTAGAATGCTTGGCATTCGAAAGGGCATCTGAAGAGGCTGACCGCATTCCACGATCTTCACCCAATAACATTCCCCTCCTAGTACCCTGCCCTCTGTGGGTGGCCAGGGTCAGCTTTCCAGGCAGCATCCCCAGTCCCGGCCAAAAAGCACCTGAGCTGTGTGTGTGACGTGGCTCCTCTGCCTCTGCTTTCTGGTGTCCAGGGTAGTGCACAAAAATGCGGTCACTTTCCACATGTTGGCACTTTCACCTGTCCTTCAACAGCCAGGTGCTAATGATTGTATTTTATCACAGCCAACACCCCAGTATTGGCCTGTAGGTGTCTGTCCTTTGTAGGATGAAAAAGTGTCTTCCTTCTGTCTCTATCTTGTGACAGTGGATGTCATTTGTCTCTTTTCACTGGTTTTGTGAAACAGAATTTGGGGGAGAGAAAATCTGTACAAAGTTTACGGTTTTCACAATCACCAGTCTCCACGATGATCTCACTGGTAGCAAACCTGTCCTGACTACAAGAGCTGGTTCTGATGTTCTCCTCGCTGCAAGACACCAGTGTTAGGGTTATTATAAACTTATTAGATGGTTTCAGCGTTAGAAAAACATGGTTTTCTGGTCGTTGCGAGTTCGGGACCAGCCTAGGCTACAAAACGAGTTCAAGGCCAGCCTGAACTGCATAGGGAGACCCTGTCTCAAAAAAACAAACAAAAAAAAATGTTCCCAAAGAATCTGTTTCCCTGTTAGTACCTCACCTGAGGTCTTGTCGAAGCTAATGTGGGAAACCTTTATAGATTGGAAACCTGTTTTGGCTAATCTTTGCAGACTCTGGTATTATCTACTTGTATTACTCTTTCCAACACTACTTTCATTTTTTTGTTGTTGAGTATAAAGACTTAGAAAGTTATAATAATAATCTTATAATTAAATATATGATACTCTTTTTTTTCTTTTTAGAATCCACTACCTAAACAAGACTTCCTTTTAAGTGTTGTTTAAATCTTAAATCTTTTGGCTACCAAATCAAAAACTCATGGCATAAAAAGGGCAGTATTTATGTTCTTAATTCTTTTTAAAAAAGCTTTATGTGTAATCTATAAATATAGATATATAGACAATACTTTCCCTTGAGTTGCACATCAACATATGGCATTGTACATTACAATGAAAGTTTGTAACTTAAGGGTATTATATATATAAATACATATATACCTTTGTAACCTTTATACTGTAAATAAAATATTGCTTTTAGACTTGTTTTTTTTTTTTTTTCATTTTTAAAAGTGTGGAGATACTTTAAAACCTGCCAGAATGTTTCAAAAGCAATACAAAAACTTCTCTATCACCTTGCCTAAGTTTCAGATACTAACATTTTTCACATTTCTTCCATTACCCTGTCTTTTCTTTCTGACATGACACTTTATTACCCTAGATTGTCTCATGTGTATCTTCAGAACACAAGGACACTCCGGAGCCTCCAGCTGGCCTACCTCTCCAGCTAAGCTTCTGAGCTATGGTTGTGGTTTTGGCTGTGGTTTTGGTTTTGATTTTGGTTTTGGTTTTGGTTTTGGTTTTCTTTGGTGGTAATTGACGTTGAACCCAGAAGCACTCTACCGCTGAGCTACATTCCTCAAACTATCTGTCTGCCCTCTGTCTTTTTCATTCATTTCTATGTAGAGGAAGGTTCTCCCTACCTTGCCCATGTAGGGCTCAAACTTGCAGTTCTCTCTCCCTTCCTGCTGGGATGACAAGTGTGTGCCACTCGCTGGGCAGCTCAGAGCTGCTTCCTCGGTTCACCTTCTCTGGTTGGCCAGTGACCCTCAAAGCTGTGTGCTAGGCTCGCTTCTCACCCTGCCCTGCACCCAGGAGCTCACACACCATTTCCATTCCCATGGGTGCCCACCTGGGAATCTCCAGCCCGCACCTTCTGAGCTCCAGATGTAGATATCCAATGGACACGTTTTCACAGGAATCTTTCAAAGGTACTCAGAATTCATGATCTTCTTCACTCTGCCCCTCAAACCTGTATTTGTCCGGTGTTCCCTGTCTCAGTAGCAACAGCAACCCAGATGCTGAAACCAGGAGTTACCTGCCCCTCTCCATATCCAGTCGGCTTTGTTTTTTTTGTTTTGCTTTTGAGGCAGGGTCTCAAAAGTTCAGGCTGGCCTTAAATTCACTATGTAGCCCAGACTGTCCTGGAATTCATGGCAATCTTCTTGCCTCAGCCTCCCAAGGGCTCAAACTCAGCAATCATCCTGCCTCAGCTTTCTTAAAGGGTGATTATAGGCATGTACCACACCTGGATCTTTTATATTTTGACACAGGGTCTCTAAGCCATTATGTTGCTCAGTTGGGAGATAAATTTGTGATCTTTCTGCCTCCGCTCCCCAGAGTACTTAGATTATAGGTATTTGCTATCCCACCTGGTTCCCCAGTTTTGTTTTGTTTTGTTTTGTTTTTTTATATATTTTGAGAGAATCTTGCTAACTTGCTTAGGCTAGGCTTGAACCTACTATCCTCCTGCTTTGGTCTTCCAGAAAGCTGGAATCACAGGGGTGCACCACTATGCCCAGCACTATATATATAAACAAATATATATATGGGCTAGAGCCTTCTAGTTAAAAAGGAAAAAACCTCAAAACTCAAAACGCAATAAATAAAAATTTGAAAAGCCTCCCATTGCTCTTCGGATAAACTCCGAAATCTTTACTCTGGCCCTGGCCCTGCCCCACCTCACTAGCATCCATGAACCAGTCTCCTTTTCCTCCAGCTACGTGAGCCTCCCAGTTTCTGCACCTGAGGCCAGCTGGGCTTTTGCACAGCTGTTACATCAACCTGGAATATGCTTCCCCTCATCCCTCGGCCTCCACTTAGAGGGAGCCTTCCCTTGTTAGAAGCTCTTGCAATGCTCCCTCTCAGGAACCCAAGGCAGGAGGATGGCCACAAGTGTAAGGCCAGCCTGGGCTACACAGCAAGACCCTGTCTCAAAACAACAACAACAACAAAAACCACACAAGCCTTCTCGTGACTGCCTCAGAATGCTTATTCCTCCCTGAGGAACTGTAGAAGACCAGCTGGACGGCTCTCCTTGAGTACAGAACAGTTACTCCCACTTTGGCTAAACCTGGCCCTATCCCCAAGTACTGATCTGTACAGTGCTGCCTAAGCTACTTCCCTTTCCCTTTAATTGACTCTAAGCAATGTAAATAGGGCTGTCTGAAGTACTGATGCATAATCTTTGAAGCCAGACTTCAGTTGCTGTTTCCCCACCTCAGTGTCTCCCAAAATGGTTGAACCCAGCAGGGTGCAGAGCCAACACTCCCAGCTGTCAGTGGAGTTTGCTAAAAGGCTATGACTTCCAGGGCAGAAAAGGTCTGCACATCAGCACGGAAGCACAAAGCCTTCTAAGCATTAAATGCTATCTCAAGTGTGTTATGCAGATCGGTCTTTCCACCTCTCCTCTGCACATTTGCAGAAGTGCTTTCTGGTCTAGCTAGCCTAGACCTAGCTAACCTCACAGCACTCAGGTTAATTCCCTCCATTCTCACAGTCACTCATCCTTTAGCTCCTCCCTTCACCAATTAATAAAACGCGGGTTAGACCCTGGTGTAGTCTTTGTTCCCTGAACTCTCATCTGGATCAGCTTCAGGATCTCTTCGCTGCCCATAACTATAAATATGCCTTGGTGTCTTTATTCTTGCTGTGGATTGCACTGGGGGTATCAAGATTGGAATTAACTTGCCAGAATTCCAATAACATTTCCATGGGATTACACATATAAACTTCCTGGTCCATGACAAGGACAGGAAAAAGGACTCTTTAATGAACATCCTCTTTCTGAGACTGTAAGCTCCCCTGAAACTGTCAAGATCATGGCTGTAACCCCAGAGACACAACACAGAGCCCAGTAGACAGAAGATCCTGTACTGAACAGTGAATGAAAAAACCTGAGCAATCTGCTGAGTAAAGTTCCCAGGTTTGGGCAAGAAAACACCTTTCTAGGGAAAACAGTAGAGGATTAATAATAATAATAATAAAAAGGCAAGGGGCATTGGAACATCCCTGTAATTCCAGGCTTTCAGGAGGCAGACGCAGGAGGATCCAAATTCAAGGCCATCCTGGGAAATTTAGCAAGATCTTATGGGGGGGGGGGAGGGTAAGCAAGCAAAACAAAAGCGCTATCAAGAGTCACCAACATAACAATTTCCAGTCTGAAGCCCCAGTGTGAACTAGTTAGCTATTTCATTCAGTAAAGTAGGTACAAATTATCATACTCTACTAAGTGTCAGGAAACCAAAGCCCTGGGAAGCGAGGTTTCCTGCGTTAGCAAAATCGCCCTAAAAGCTCCTTTCATCCCAGGCAGGGGGAGGACTTCAGAATTCGGCCTCGCCCGCCCTCGGCCCCGCCCCTCCATGCCCGCCCCGCCCCGTCCTTGCAGCCGCCCCAGCACTGCCTGCAATGCGGGATGTGGCCGCTAGGGGTCAGCAGCGCAGCTCGGGCCCGACCGCTCTGGGCCGCGCGCCTCGCTCGTCCCGAGACACGGCTCCGGCTGCTAGCAGCTTCTCTGCCCGCGCCCAGCGCCCACCCACCGGGCTCCCCGTGCCGAACCCAGCACCTCGGCTCCCCGGGGCCGGACCGAGGCCGCCAGCAGTGCTGCGGGGTGTGGGGCGGACCCAGGAGATGAAATGACAACGTCAACCCTCCAGGTACCTCAGCGCGGCCCGGCGGGCTGCGGAGGCCGAAAGCGGCGCGGCGGGGCCTGTGGGCCGCGGACCGAGCGAGCGAGCGAGCCGGCCTCCTCGGACCTGGGCTCCAGGCCGCGTCGCCCGCCACCGTTTCTCCGTCCACGCGCTCGCAGTACAGGGGCGTCTCCACCCTCGGGCTCCGGCTCGCCCAGCTGGCGGGGCCCAGAGGACGCTGCTTGCAGCCAGCGCCTGGGATGCCGGGCTGCAGCTCCTCCCTGCCCGCGGCCGGGTCGCGTGGGTCGCTCTGGCGTGGCTCCCTCCCACCACCACCTCCCCCAGCCCCTTGACACGCCGCGGACGAGCCTCTGCTTCTTCCCTGGGCCCTTACTTCCTCCCCCCCGCCGGCGACCCTTCATTCATTCCCTGCCCCGAGCGGGGAGGTGCCAGGGTGGCGCCGCCTGGATGAGCGATGACCGGTCCTCCAGGTGCTGTCAGAAAACAAACGCGCTCAGACCCGAGACCGGGCTTTGAACCCCAGCCCCGCCTCTCAGCATGTGACCTGGGGTTGTTTTTGACCTTAGAATCGGATTCGCCTGAGCTGTAAAATGGGGCAGTGGTCTGTGTGGTTGTGAGATGGCTTAGACCAGGGCAGTAAAGCATTGTACTCAGTAAGCCGTGGCAGTCAAGTATGCGCTTGGGGGAGAAAGGCGAGGAGACCTCATGCAGGAAGGGGCAGAGCGTGCGTGCCTAGCTTTCAGATACTGGGTGATGGAAAAGGAACGGTCAGTCACTCCAGGTGGAGGAACAGGCGTGGAATAAATTGGACAAAGGACCTTTGCACCTAGTCACACCCCCAGCCCTTTTTATTTCTTATTTTTTGAGACAATGTCTCAGTAAGTCTCTAATTGCCCAGGCTGGGTTAGAACTTTAGATTCTCCTGCCTCAGCCTCCTAGTGTGCAGGGATGATAAACATACACCACTACATCCAGATTTTTTACAGGTTTTAAAAACAGCTTTACTAAGAACTCACATAGTATACACTCACAACTCGCCAAGATAAAGTGTGCTTTTGGGGCTGGGAGTTAGCTCAGCAGCATAAGTGCCTGCCAGGCAAGCATGAGACAATGAGTTCAATTTTCCCCAGTACCAAAAAAACAAATAAAATAAATAAATACATAGTGAGAAGGTCTCACTATGTAGTTTAGGCTGGCCTCAAACTCACTGATCCTCCTGCCACAGCCTCCCAAGTGCTGGGATTACAGGCATGTGCCAACCCCCTCCCCAAAAGTGTGCCGTTTAATGCTTTTAGCACAGAGTTGCACAACCGTCACTTTTTGGAACATTTTCATCATCTCCCCCCCTAAAAAAGCATTGCCCTTTGGCTGTTACTCCCCAATCCTTGATCCCTCCCAGCCCAAGGCAACCACTAATCCACCTTCTAGCTCTTTACCTTCTAGCTCTGTACCATCATATAATATGTAGTACTTTGTGATTAGTTTCCTTAAAATAATGTCATAGGCTTTTAATTTTTTTTGTTTTGTTTTGGTACCAGGAATCAAACTCGTGACCTTGCAGGCAGGCGCTTATGCCACTGAGCTAAATCCCCAGCCCCGGCTTTTAATTTTTTAAAAATGATTTGGGAATGCCATGTGTGGTAGCTCATGCCTGTAATCCCAGCACTCGGGAGGCTGAGGCAGGAGGATCATTGCGAGTTCGAGACCAGCCTGGGCTACGAAGTGAGTTCAAGGCCAGCCTGAACTGCATAGTGAGACCCTGTCTCAAAAAGACAAAAAAAATTGGGGAAAAAGGCTTTTATGACACGTGAAAATAATTTGAAATTCAAATTCAGTGCCCAAGTTTTATTGTTTTTCTTTTTTTTTTTTAAACCGGTACCCGGGATCGAACTCACGACCACATGCTTGCAAGGCAGGCACTTATGCCACTGAGCAAATCCCTAGCCCCCCAAGTTTTATTGGAATAAATTCTACTCATTCATTACATATTATCTGCTGCTGCTTTTGTGCTACAAAGGCAGAATTGGTTAGTTGCTACAGAAGTTGTACTGCCTGACAAAACCTAATCATTTATGTAACATCTGGTCCTTTATATAAAAAATTTGCCAGGCCCTGTGTTACTATGGCACAGAAGTGACCTGGGGAGCAAACCCAGAACCTTCACACTGAGCTGTGTTCCCAGGATCACCCTTCTTTTAATTTTTAATTTTAAAGCAGAGTTTCATTGAGTCATCCTCCTGCTTCAGCCCCCAGGGTACTGGGATCACAGACATTCACCACCATACCTGGCCCGCATGTTTTTATCACCCTTTTCCATTATGCTCATCCTTTGCTTGATGTGTTACTAGAGATGTGGCAGTGTGGTAGTGTTACTTGTCACCTTACCCTCCTGTTAGGCAAAACTGTTTCTTTCCACTAACACTAACGGCTCCCACATGTGAAAAACTACTGGTTGCCAAATGCATGAATAGAATGTTTAGAAGGAGAGAGGGAAGAAGCCAGATTCAGAAAGACAGATATCACGTGTTCTCCTTATGTGGGATTTAACAAAAGATAACATGAAAACAGAAACAAGATTATTATTAGACAAAAGGAATGGGGCACTGTAAGTGGGCCTTACAGGACAGCAATGGGATGAATGAATAGGATCCCAGGATATGCAGTGAAGGCCAAAATTTTGAAAATTAATAGGCACTAATCGTAAAAGGAAGAAAAGGGGAAAGAGGAGGTAGGTGTGCTCCTTGGAGGGAGCAGGTACCTCCAGTTTTATTCCAGGCTCCCACTGCAAAAGAACAGACCCAAGCCAGAAGCAGGATAGGAAGATGGGCACTGGGGCTCAACAGCTGTGCTCAGTAGGCTGGGGCAAGAGGATGCCACGTTGAAGCCCAGCCTAGGATTCATAGTGAGTGCAAGGCCAGAATGGACTGCACAGTAGTGAGACTGTCACACATGGAAGAGGCAGTACAGAGTGAAAGAGGCCGGGGAACTTGGGTATGTTCTGAAGAAAGAAGCCAGCAGGACTGGAGCACTCTTGTCCCAAGGGTCGCGGGGGAGAGAACAGAGACGGGAAGCATGTGTGGAAGCTGACCACCCAAGAAGGTTCAGGGTTCCTAGCTGTCCTTTGGAGGAAATGGAGCCTGACGTAACCAACACTTTTTTCCTCCTCAGTACTGGGGATCGAACCCAGGCCAAGATTGTTAGGCAGGCACTGTACCACTCAGCAGTGGCCCCAGCCCTTCTTACTTTTTCTTGTCTTTGGCCTAGTGAGTTCCTTTAACGACAGCCCGGCCTGCTTCACCAGCCTGCCAGTTTAGCACAGCCATCTGTGCCATCTGCTTTCTCTTGGGTACCTCTTACCTGCAGCCAGGGAAGGACCAAACAAATGCCCTGTTCCCCTCCGAGAGCTGGTCAGGAGGATTTTATTTGCTTTGGCTGCAGCTGGGCGGCACCAGGTGGAGAAAGAGGATTCTGGTTGGGCAGGGGAAGCTGTGGTTTCTAAAACTGTATGTGTAGGCGCTTCCCAGTCAGCAGCCTGCTGCGTTTATCAGACTCGCTAAGACACGGCTCACTCCCTTGAGTTCTTAGACACTCCGGGCGCCGCTCCCTGGGCTGGCAGCACCTGTTCGCCTCTGGAGTAAGCAGGCGCTGTCCTTTCTGCTGCTGCTGGCGCGGTGTCGATTTAGGCTTTGTAGGGCAGTGGTTTGCCCTCTGCACTGAGAGAAGCCAGTGGAGCCAGGCCAGTAGAAGGCAACAGAGGGAGCTTCAAGTCCATCTCTCCTTTTTGTGCCACTGGACATCGAGTTCAGGGGCACTCTGCTACTGAGCTACATTCTTTTTTTCTTTTTTACCCCTTAAACTGATGCGTTAGCAAAAGGGCTGAGGCTGCAGACCAGCACAAAGGCTTCGAATTCGATTCCCAGTATCACGAAAGAGACAGACAGACTAATTGATAGATACTCATCTGTCTTGGGTCAAAACCCTTAGGTCGATGAAGGACTTTCCTAGCTGGCTGCCTCTTCTCTGCCCCAGGCCAAGTGCAACCTCTGTCCTCTTTGCTGAGGGAAACAACAGTCAGTTGTTTCGAGTGTTCTCCTCACGTTCTTGGCTCACTTTCCTTTGAGGCAATGAAGTAGAAAGTTCTGTGGGTTTGACTTGGAGCCCAAGCCCGGGTCGGGAAGTTCAAGATTCCTCTGCTGAACTCCAGGGCAGGCTGGAGGGAGGCTGCCTTGATACCGATGAGCTCCCTGTGAAGAGGGATGGCTATCTTCTAAAGTTTCCTTTTAAAGACCTTCCAGTTGATGTTGGAAAAGTAGGACAATATAATGGCCTACAACCAACAAATCCACATGCTGCAGGCCTGGCCGTATCTTTTATTAATCTCATCCCGCTGTTTGGGAAGCCCAGGCCTTTCTGGATCTCCTGGGAAGCACTGAGCTATTTGCCTCGCCTTTCCAGAAAGCCATTGATCTGGTGACGAAAGCAACAGAGGAGGACAAAGCCAAGAACTACGAGGAGGCGCTGCGGCTGTACCAGCATGCCGTGGAGTACTTCCTGCACGCCATCAAATGTGAGTCATGCAGGTTCACGGGGCTCTGCCAGGAGGGCACCCAGGGCTCACGGGCCATTCTGCATCCCTTTTGCAGATGAGGCTCACAATGACAAGGCCAAGGAGAGCATTCGAGCCAAGTGCATGCAGTACCTAGACCGGGCGGAGAAGCTGAAGGATTATTTAAAAAACAAAGAAAAACACAGCAAGAAGCCAGTGAAGGAGAATCAGAGTGAGGGCAAGGGGTAAGTGTAGAGCGCACTGGCGGGCTTTATGCGCTCATCACATGGAGGGCCGTCACTCTCCAGGCCTCATGCCCTCTCCATGTGGAGGGCCGTCACTCTCCATACCAGCACTGCTTGGACTCACATGGCAGCCCCACTCTAGGAAACTCTTCCTAACCATTGTGCCAGCAGCTGCTCTCATTGGCTTTTCACAGAGTGTCCCTATGTCATCTCACTGGTCTGCATAGAAAAGCCTGGTGAGGGGTGATCAACCGTGGCCTCTCACAGTCCTGTGCTTGGATTGGTTCTGTGCCACTGCCTTGCCCTATGTGGGAAGATGAGGGAGCTCTTCCCCTAGCAATGCTGTAAGGAGCAGAGGGGATGATGTGACAAAGCCTCAGAAGGGACCTGGCACACAGTGAGCATTCAGTGAATGCCAGCTGCTGTTACCACAAAGAAGCATCCTCACCAGAGGCAAAGGGGTATGGCCAGGGTAACAGAGCCAGACACGCTGCATATGAACCTCTGGCCCTGGCCTCTGACTCCACAGCCAGCATCTTGCTTTGGCCTCTCAGCTCAGGCCTGGGCATTGCCCCATGGCAAGGCCCGTCAGCTGCACACAGGGGCCATGGTGCCCTTGAGGCTGATGGGCAGCTGCCTCAGTGAAGTCAGCCTTCCCGCTGATGCAGGGTGCATGCTTCTGATTCTCGGGAGAGGTGTGCTGAGGAAGAGACAGGAGATAGGGAAGAGCTTTGAGGACAACAAGTGAGTCAGGACTGAAAGTGGCCTTTAGGATCACAGCATGTCCCCCTTTAGAAGTGTCTTGTGTTTGTTACTGGGATTGAACCAGGGGCTGCAGGCATGCGAGGGATCAACTGCAGTGCTAAGCAAACTAAGGACGATCTAAGCTCCGAGCTGCATCCCCAGCTGTTTATTCATCGTTTTCAGACAGTCTCTAAACTGCCCAGGTTGGCTTCAACTGAGTAGAACTCAGTTTAGAACTCTTCTGAGTAGTTGGAATTATTGTTGTGCACCCAGCCCCAGCTTCCCCTTTGGTGTGTGTGTGCACATATGTGCATGTACTAGGGATTGAACCTAGGGTCCTCACACTGAGTTACACTGTAGCCCTAAGACAGGTGCTCACTAAGCTGCCCAGGCAGAGTTCAGCTTCCCAGAGCGCCAGGATTATAGATGTGCCCAGCTTTCCCTGTTAGTTTGAAACTTCACCTCTTTGTCTTTTGGAGTCCTCTGGAGTCACGGCCATGTATTGTCTGTATGAAAGGTTCCTGATGGCTATGTTTGTTTGGCTGCCCTGGAAGTCCAGCCAAATTATATTTTTTTCTCCAGCCCTTAGGAGAGGGCAGACTTCCTAACCTGTATTCCTTTAATGAAGAAACCACAGTGTCACTGTGATCACGTTTGCTGGAGGACAGCATGTGGCCCTGACATGTGCAGGCCTGACCTGTTTACCTGTCCCTCGTTAGAGCAATGTGGGGAGCATTCCTCACCCATGTGCTGGCGGAGAGTCCAGCATCGTTCAGAGCCTTCTGGCTCTTGGCGGAGGACCAGCTTGTGAGCTTCTGTTTCCTCTCTCAGCAGTGACAGTGACAGTGAAGGGGATAATCCAGAGAAGAAGAAGCTGCAGGAGCAACTGATGGGTAAGAGGCCTGAGGCCATATGCCCTGCGTGGGGCCATGGGACCTGTGTGTCGGCTCCTGCTCACGGCTAGCACCTCCTGCTGCAGGTGCCGTTGTGATGGAGAAGCCCAACATACGGTGGAATGATGTGGCGGGGCTGGAGGGGGCCAAGGAGGCCCTCAAAGAAGCTGTCATTTTGCCGATTAAATTCCCACACTTGTTCACAGGTAAGAGCTGAGCGACTGGAGATACAGACATAAAACTCAGGCTACTACTGGAGCCCGCACGGGGTCCCCTCTGAGGTGTCCCAAAGCAGATGGCTTTGCCAGCCTTGGTCCTCAGGCAGTGGGGCTGACCTCGCATACGTGCTGTCAGGAGAGGTCTTCAGGCCTGCTCCCCAACGTCACCTATGCCTCAGCTTCTTGCTGGTGTCATAGACACCTCTGAGCTGGGATGCAGCTCAGTGGTATAGCACTTGCCTAGCATGCACAAGGCAGTGTTTGATTCTCAGCCCTGAAGAGGAAAAAACATTTTTGTGACTGGAATTTTGAGGTGAGCATTTCAGGGGTGGGCATAGTAACTTCCAAGGGTTAGGACTGCTCCCAACAGGTCTGAGGGTTCCTTCTGCCTTTGCTCCCTGATCAGCCACTCTACAGAACTATTTCTTACTGTCTTTTCAGTGACTGAAGCCCCCCCACACACACACACACTTTTTTTTTTTTTCTTTCTTTTTTTTTTGCTTCCTTTCCCCAGTCAAGAAGAGGCTGACTTGGGTTCATTCTTTGTTGCAGGCAAGCGTACCCCTTGGCGGGGGATACTGCTCTTTGGACCCCCTGGCACAGGGAAATCCTATCTGGCCAAAGCCGTGGCAACAGAGGCCAACAACTCCACCTTCTTCTCTGTGTCCTCCTCTGATTTGATGTCTAAGTGGTTGGGGGAGAGTGAGAAGTAAGTCAGCCAGCTGTGGTGGCCCAGCTCCTTGCCCCTTGAGGTAGCCTCTCAGAGGCACTGCGCCAGTAGCAAGATTTGGCCAGTGTTTCGGTTGGGGCCCTGTCCTGGCAGACTGGTGAGCCTGGCAGGGAAGCCGGGAGAGATGAAGTACTCAGAAGCAAGGGACAGGTGTCACTGTAACAGTATCTGCCCAGTGTTCTGTTAGGGCACCAGCTGTGTTTTAGCTGTTCCCCACACTGGCCTCCATTGGCACATGAGAAAAGTGAGGCTCAGTAGAAAGATGTCTGTCCTGAGTCCAGAGCTGATGATCTGAAGCGATGCCAAGGCATGCCCTTCCCCTTGGTGCGGAGGATTTGTCGCCATCATTTTTGCTGTGGGAAGGACAAGAAGAGCAACTAGAACTTGGGGAGTGCCTGGACCCTAAGCCGCTATTCCCTTCCCAGGCTTGTGAAGAACCTCTTTGAGCTGGCCAGGCAGCACAAGCCCTCCATCATCTTCATCGACGAGGTGGACTCCCTCTGTGGGTCCCGAAATGAGAACGAGAGCGAGGCTGCCCGGAGGATCAAAACAGAGTTCCTGGTCCAGATGCAGGGTACGTCCCAGCTGTGGGGACCCCCTTGGTTGTGGCTCCACCTAAAGTGAAACCCCGAGTGTCACTGTCGCTATGGCTGGGTTTGATTGTTTTGGGGTGGAGGAGAAACATTTCATGGTGCCACCGTCGGGCCTCAGGCCGGGGCTTTCACTGCTGCTGGCACTGGCAGCTTCGTAGTCTCTTGGCCCTATCAGAGCCAGACTACTTTAATTTCAGTCTGGACCCTAGGGTGATGGCACACAAAAGCCCCAGCGTCTGTCCCGCAGGTTCTGACTGACCCTGCAGGTGCCCTCAGAGTCTGTCTCCTTCCTCCACAGGGGTGGGGAACAACAATGATGGGACTCTGGTTCTCGGTGCCACAAACATCCCCTGGGTGTTGGACTCAGCCATCAGAAGGAGGTGAGTCTCCCCCAGCAAGGTGGGCCCGCAGTCTTCTCCCACCCCTTTCTGTGCAGTCCTCAATGAAGCAGGTTTCCTGAGAGTTTTGGTGCCAGCAATGCAGGCCCCTGCCATCAACACCATTCAGTGATTTGTTTCACTCCTGCCATGTGCTTTGCTCTCTAGGTTTGAAAAGCGCATTTACATCCCATTGCCTGAGGAAGCCGCCCGTGCCCAGATGTTCCGGTTGCATCTGGGGAGCACTCCCCACAACCTCACAGATGCCAACATCCACGAGCTGGCCCGGAAAACAGAAGGCTACTCGGGCGCAGACATCAGCATCATCGTGCGGGACTCCCTCATGCAGCCTGTCAGAAAAGTTCAGTCAGCAACGCACTTCAAGAAGGTGAGTGGTGCTGGGCATGGTGGTACCTGCCTGTCATCCTAGCACTCTGGGAGGCTGAGGCCGGAGGGTTACAGTTCTAGCCCAGCCTGGCAACTTAGTGACTTGGCAGACTTTTGTCTCAAAAATGAAAAAGGTGTTGGGTATGCAGCCCATGTTAAGGCCCTGGGTTCAGTCCCTAGTACCCTCCCCATGCTCTCAGCAAAGGAGGTGAGCGGTGAGCAAAGCTTAGACAGTGTCACTAGAACAAGTGGTCATCAGTTTCCCTGGCTCCTCAGGGGATACATCCTCAGTATCTTGGAGAACCAGCGCAAAAGCAAAGGGCATGGCTGGACCTGCCCCGCCTTTCCTGCAGCTGTTCCTTGAGTGCGACGGTCTCTGGTTGTGAGAAGGCAGAGACAGAGCAGCATGTTCACAGCTCTGTGCCTGTGGGCAGGGTGCACACCAAGGAAATGCCTGAAAAGTGCAGGTCTGAGGTGGGGATTCACTGGGCGCTATGGCACAATCCCAGCACTTAGGGAGACTGAGGCAGGAGGATCACTGAATTTGAGGCCGGCCTGGGCTACACAGCAAAACCCTAAATAAACAAAGTGGGGATTCATCTATTCACCAGGAGATCTCCTGTTGAATGTCTCCTGTGTGTCTGCTGTGTCCCTGGCATTGTTCTAGGCACTGGGGAGACATTGTGAACACAGCAGAAAACCCCTCTGCCCTCCAGGAGCTCCTCTTCAAGTAGGGGAAGACAGCCAAGATAAAAGCTGGCTCCTTAGAGGACGGTGACAGGGAGGCAGGGTGTGGTCTAGGAGACCGGGAGCACCAGAGGTTGGGAGAGGTGAGCAGGTTGCAGTTAAAGGACATGCCTATGCTGTGGCACTTGAGCCATGAACTGGAGGAGGTGAGGGAATCGGCCATTCTGCCAGTCCCGCAGATTTCAGAGGGGAACCCATATTGCCACAACCGCAGCTGTATTGAGACTTGGTAGTATCACTGAGAAATGTGAGAAGTTGAGATTGTGGAGACCAGGAGCTGGAGGGGCACCTGTGAGCAAGCCTTTGATGTCAGACCTGGAGCTACTCTGGCCACTTAGCTCAGGAGTTCTGAATAAGCCTGTCCCTCCACCAGCCCCTTCTTTTGGGGTTGCCCTTAGAAATCAGGGCTTTCGTCCTCACTCTGAGGACAGCTATGCCAGCCTGTCAAACTCCTGCTTGGTTTCAGGTCTGTGGCCCTTCCCGCACTAACCCTAGCATTATGATAGATGACCTCCTGACTCCGTGCTCGCCAGGGGACCCAGGGGCCATAGAGATGACCTGGATGGATGTCCCCAGTGACAAACTCTTAGAGCCTGTGGTTTGCATGGTAAGTAACCAGTTGGGAGGGAGGAATGCAGAGCCAAAAAACTGGGGGCCTAATCCCGGCATAAAACTGAGCTGTTCCCCTTCTGTGTTCTGGGCTCTTGGGGTTCCTTTGAGAGAGGGGTCTTGCAGGTTTGGGTAACCAAGACTCTTGCCAAGACAGAAGCATTTGCATTATCTGTTCTTCAGCGGGAGTGTAAAGTCCACATAATGAAAGTGTCATTCTTGGGGTTTGGCTTATTTGATCCAGAGGGGGAGTTAGGTCAGCATGGTTGGATTTGAGGTAGTGATAAAGGCAGCCTCTTGCTCAAGTAGTCTGAACTTGGTTTTCTAGCCTTGCCCATCACAATGCTTATCCTGGCAGGTACCTGTGCTGGGGCCGTTGTGGTGGGCACAGGTAGGAGTTAGGAGAGCGAGCCTGAATTCTCAGATGGGAAGGCGGCACTCTAGAAATGACCCGCATGGCCTCAGGAAGGAAGGTCTGTGCTGCAGGCAGGTTCAGCAGGGCAGCCGGAGATTGTTCTGGGGGGTGTGTGTGTGTGTGTGTGTGTGTGTGTGTGTGTGTGTAGACGCACACACGTGCATTGTGCATGTGCATTTTTCTAAGGCAGGCCTCCCTGCATCTGGGCAGCATAGTGGTACAAGTGGGGAGACTGAGGACCTGGCTTGGCTGCTTCTCAGCCATATCCTCTTGCCTTTGCAGTCTGACATGCTCCGGTCTTTGGCTACCACCCGGCCCACGGTGAATGCAGATGACCTCCTGAAAGTGAAGAAATTCTCAGAGGACTTTGGACAGGAGAGTTAAAAGCTTCTTCATATGGGCGATGGTGAAGGTGGGAAGTAGGCTGGGTAAACCCACAAAACTCCCTAAGTCAATGGCCAGACAGGGCTCCGTGGCACACTGCAGTCACCATGGTGGCTCCTCCGCCATCCGCTGCCAGCCAGGGAGCAGGAAGAAGGCCCTGCAGCAGACGCCTGCCGCACATCCCGTGCTGGGTGGACACTGGCTGTCCCTACTTCTCTCCTGGATGCTTACTCCTTTCCCTGCCCCTCTGTCCTGTTTTCTTTTTAAACTTTTTTATTTTGTTTTGTTCCCCTAAATTAATGCTATTTTGATTTCTGTCTTGTTTATAAATAAAGTCACCTAGAAGTGTCAAGGGGGGAGCAGCCAGGGCCAGCCTCTGCTCCTTTTACATCCAGCTTCAGCCCTTTGAGAACAGACTGATGGAAGTAAGAAAAGCCATCCCCACCCTCCTGGTGTGCATCCAGGGCCCCCATCTTCCCCGCAGGAAGAGATGGTTTCTGTGAGCACAAGGCCACTTCGATCAGAAGGCAGGCAGGTGGTCTTCACTGCTGCCTTTTCTTCCTGGGTGAGAACACTGAGCCCAGTCACTGCCCCTGGGGCCTTGTCCTGGAGATGTCTAATAAACCCTTTCCCTTCCTGAACTGACCTCATTTTGACTCTTGTCTGGGCCTCTCCAAAGGACCTCTGGTTTTCTTGTTAGCAGAGTAGGAAGTTGACAGTGCTAGTCCCCTGCTGCTTTCCTTGGCTTGCCTCCAGTCAGTTCCCCAGCAGCCTGGAATTTTAGCTGGGAACGTTTAAAAGAACTGGACAGCTTTTGCAGCTGCACAGTGTCTAGACCAGAGACTGCCAACAGGGAGTCTTGTGGGCCAGATGTGGCCCTGCAGCTGTTTAGTACTGCCACATTTAAACAAATAAATGTGAAACTAGAAATAAAACTTCTAGTCTCTAGCTTCTGGAAGATTAAGTAATGCTGGGTCTATATCCTTGTGAGGCAGCTGCTGCTGCTGGCAGGGCCCACTCTGTTTAGAAATGGACTCCCAACCCTACTCAGTGATGCTGCCTGCCACAGAGCCATTGGAAGCAGGGACCTGATAAGAACACCAAGCCCAGAGCTGGCAGTCTCGGAAAGACCATGTGATGAGTAAGATGGGAGACAATGGTGTGTTCATCCTGTGCACACAGAGAGGCCTAGCGCAGGGAACAAAGCTTGGAGCCTAGAAAGTGGTATTCTAGCCATTCTCCTTTCTCCAAAAATCAGTATTGTCCCCCTTTTTATTGTTGCAGGGAACTGAACCCAAGTGCTCGTGAATGCCAAGTACAACTCTATAGTGAGCTGTATTCTCAGCCCCAATTCTCTATCTTTATAAACTGAACAGGCCAAAACTGATTCAGTGGCCAACTCTTTTAAGATCATATTGGTCTCACACTGTGGTCTCACTTCTTTGCTCTAGCTGGGAGGTGGCTACTGATGTGATCAACAGCTCAAAGGTTGGGCTCTACTTGGGTGTGGTAGCACACTCCTATAATCCCAGCACAAAGACAGGCAAAAGGTGCAGAGTTCAGGGCCAGCCCGGGCTACATAGTGGGTTCAAAGCCAGCCTGAATTGCATAGTGAGACTGTCTCTCACACACAGCCAATTTTTTTTTTTTTTTTTTTTTTTTTTGGTACCGGGGATTGAATTCATAACAACCTTGAGCTTGCCAGGCAGGCGCTTATACCAATGAGCTAAATCCCTGGCCCCCAAAAATATTTTTTTAAAGGTTACGCTCTAAGGCTATTTCCTAATACTGGTAGATTAGCCCCCTCCCTACAAAAAAACCCCGTATTCTGAAGCATGAGCTGACCTGACCTCTAGCTGACAGGTCACCCTGGTGCTCTCACACTTCTTGGTTATTTGCTCTCAGCCCCAGTATGCAAGTTTAGGAATAAAAGGCCATCATTGTCTGCCACATGTGAGCCACTTCGCCTCACCTAGTCCTCAGAAGGCCTCCCCCTTTTTAAATCACCATCATTTCCACCACTTAAGCACCTTGATGTCACAGGGATGACTGGCAGAAACTTAGGTCCACTGCATTTGTCCTCTTGGCTCTAGGTGAGAGCTCACAAACACTTGCCTTTCCATTTTTCTCTCCATCGTCAGTAGGAAGATCCACTACTAAGGCTGAACTGTCCTGAGATGGAAGCTATGAGCTTTGGAATGCCAGCACACAACCTATCACCATCTGTTAAAGCTACTAATATGGGCAGAGGAACATCCTTTCTCTGAAAGTCACTTCTCTACCAGGGGACTCTTCTGAACTTCTGCCTGCACTGGCTTTCACTGCAGAAGTGGAATTTTGAAATTTCCCATTAGCTTGATGTTGCAGCTTCTGTGGCTGATAAGTACTGTACCTATGTGGGATGGTACTTTCTTTGGGTGGTGATAAGTACTTTCGTTACTGGAAATGCAAAGGTTAGTTGCTGCTGATCAACACCACAAAGGCGCCGCTAAGGGGAACCTGTGAAAGCTATAAGGAAGCAGTAGTATGTAGGAAGAAGCCAAAGGAGCCTCTGAAGACACCAAGAGAAAAACAGCTTGACCGATCTTCACATAAAGACCTTGTTTTTTTCATCAAAAAAAAAAAGCTTTCTATAAACTTCTCTGAGGGCTGAGTCTCCAGCTCCTCTCCAAAGTCCACCTGTAGCTTGAATGATTTCTGCTTGCCCAGTGTGCCTCAGAGAAAGGTACAGAGGAGAAAGGGTCTCCCCTGGACTGCTGTTTAAATCCCTTCTCTCTGAGCAACTTGGACTTCTTCCGGTTCTCATTTACCATGATTCAGGAGACCGTTCTGCAAGCAGACCAGCTTCGTGGCTGGCATTGCAGCTTTGCTGTAGTGTGTACTCAGCACACGTAAGGCCAAGGTTTCATGCCCAGCACCAAAAAAGAAAAAACTGCTCCTCAGTCTCCATTTAAAGATAAAAGTAAGACTTCTGGAGTTCCTTAAAGCCAAACACTATTCAGTAAATACCTATGGTGAGCAGTAAGCACCAGGTCTACTTCTGTCCTGTGAAAGGAAGGGGCTCATTGTTGTCTATTGGTTGCCACCCCACTTCTGCTCCATGGCCTTGGCCCGAGAAATGAGCCAAGTACCAGCTGCCCAAGAGATTTCGATCTTTCCCAAGTTGGAACTGTATCTGAGCCTGATAAAACATGTAGGTACTTATTTACATTAATGCTGTCATTAAATACTTCCTTGAACTGGGACTACACCGTCCCGTGTTTTTATTTCCACAAGCAACTGGTGTCTAAGGCAAACCAAGGACTTGGTAAAATCAGACAGACAACAAGCTCTTTGTAAAAAGAACTCAAGAGATAGCAATCCCAATGTTGCCTACATTTTCAAACAAAGCTTTCATATTTTGGGGGACTATATCATGATCCCTCATGGTACTGGCAGCAGACTGCACAGGTCTTGTGAGATCATTTGTAATCAGAATGGTTATTTCCATGTCCCACTTCTTTTCATGCAGAATTATCAGGAAATATCCACTCCTTTAGGGAGGTGTTTTTCTCTTCCATTGTAGGAGGCAGTGTTTTGTGCAGAGCTGACTTGGGAGCAGTTATTTCCAGCCTCTTCTCTGGCTGGGTTCAGCGTGCATTAGCAGGTTACCGTTTCTAGTCAAATCAGAGCCAGTACCAGGTTGAGGCCAACATGTGCCCAGCTCAAGCTTAAGTGGTGTTTGTACCTTGGTTTTCCAGATCCTCAGCCCCTGCAGGAAAGCCTCAGTCATTCACCTCCATCCATTGGACATTGGTAAAGGTCCTGGTGTCCATTTTGTCAATGAACAAGCAGCCCTGCAAGTGGTCCATCTCATGCTGGATGATACGGGCGGTCCAGCCGCTTGCCTGCCACACCACCTGCTCTCCTCTCGGGTCCAGCCCTGCAAAGAAAGTTCCAAGCTGCTTGAGGCACACTGAACTGTGTCTTTCTCAAGCTCTTTGCCCTGTGTCCTGTCCAGGCCATTTCTATTTACAGGAGGCAACAGCAGAACGATAGTACATTAACTGGGCACAGTGATGCATCCCTGTAATCCCAACACTCTAGGAGGCTTGGCCAGGAGGACCTCAAGTTCAGGCCTAGCCTAGGGAACTTAACTCAGCATGTCTCAAAATTTTAAAAACTCAAAAGGCCTGAAGATGTAGCTTAGTGCAAAGGCTCTAGGTTTCATTCCCAGCATCCCTCCCAAGATTGTGTATCTCTATGTATATAGAGGTACAGATTCAGCGAACAGCCCTTGGAGTCCAGTTCAGGGGTTCAGTGGAATACTGCCTGTCCAGATATGCTGCCAGGCCTTGCATTCTAGCACCAAAGGCGGGGGTTGCCTTATTTCTGCCCATCCCCAAGCATTCAACCTGTTCTCAATTTTCATTGTCAGCTCTCAATAGGGTGGGGATGAGAAATTCTGCTAAGATGCCTTCTGAACACCTCCCACTTCACAAGAATTGCTTTCCTAGTGCAGAAACTGAAGGGACGAAAGAAAAAAAATTAAAAACTGAAGGGACACCACTGACTTCTGACTTTTTTCAGACAACTGCCTTGCTCAAGAGGAACAAGCATGCTAAACCCACCTGAGGACAATACCCCACCAAACATCTGTGGTATCACAGGCATGCACCACATCTTCCGGGGTGAGGCAAAGCTGGGTCCCATTTCTCTAAGCCCACAGTGACAAATTAATTAACGGGAGAGGGGTGTGGAAGAGGGAGGAGGGCGAAGGCCACAGCCAGGTGAGGTGGTGTGGCACAGCATACTCCTATAATCCCACCACTCTGGGAGGCTGTGGAAGATCTCAAGTTCCAGCCCACCCTGGACATCTTAGAGATGCCCTGTCTTAAAATTAGAAGTAAAAATGCTGTACTCAGGAGGCTGAAGTAGGAGGACTGCTGTGAGTTGAGGGCCAGAGTGGACTACATATATAGTGAGACCTTGTCTCAAAAAGGCTGGGCTGTAGCTCAATGCAGACTGGTGGCATGGAAAAAAAAAAAACAACGCCCAGCGGGTAACTGACAGCACCATCAGGGCACCTCCCAATCCTGTCTCCCCATTCCCTCAGAGCCTCCCTTCGCACTAGTCTGGTGCTTCTCAGCCCGGCGCTCCTGCAGGAGCTCTGCAGATAAAGCAGCACGTATGCTCTGGCCGGAGCTCTGTGGCAGCCGTTCCTGGACTCCCACAGCTCCCGTGTCCACCCAGCCCACCCAGTCACCCGCACCTGAGATCTGCACTGCCTGGAAGCGGGGCACGTAGGCCAGGAAACCGGCGACGCTCTCGCAGCCCTCTGGGAAGGTAACCAGGCGGCTGTCCAGCACACGCAAACTGGGGTTCACCAGCACGCGCAGCGGGAAGGGCTCCATCTGGCGGAGCTCGCGTAGGCGCGGCGCGCAGGCGCGGAAGAGCTCCTCCGGGAGCTCCAGCGCCAGCACCTGCAGCGGCACCCCTAGCTGCGGCGCGCTTAGGCCCACGCAGCGCCGGCGCCGCATCACCTGCACCAGTTGCTGCACCAGCCGCTGCAGCTCGGGCCCCTCCAGCTGCGCCGGCTCCACTGGGGCCGCCACGGCCCGTAGCACCGGGTCCCCGACCTGGCACACGTGCGCGTAGGGAGGCCGCGGCGCTCCCCGGACCAGGCGCCTCACGTAGCGCCAGTAGGAGCGCGGGCGCCCCGGGCCCTCCAGGCCGTCCGCGGCCGCTGAGGAGCTGCAGGGCCGGGCGCTGCCCGCAGCAGCTCGCAGTTGCAGCGCCCGCAGCAGCCCACTCCACAGCCGGGCCATCGCGCAACCCGCAGAAACCCGGCACCCCGCCCCTTCCTCCTGCCACCGGGACGCCTTCCGGGACGCGGGGCTCGCAGCCAGGCCGACACCATCCGTCAGGTTTATTGTCATTCCAGCCTCGTACAGGAGTAACCGAAATGTCTCCCCATGGGACTGTGCCCCACAATATGCTCGCAATGTCCCCTAGAGCCTGGCGTGGGCGAGACGACCCCCGCTTTAGGAGCTGCTCCCAACCCGTGGGGGCTGAGGCTCCACACCGCGCATGCCCAAAGCTAGCAAAGGTCCACACTGGGCGGAGCGGCCTGCGGCTCCCCATCTCCCGTACCGGCTTCCGCCGGCTCCTGGGGAAGCTCCGAGGGCTCCTCCACCGGCCCGGCCTCAGGGCAGGCTACAGTTGGGGGCGCCAGGCTCGGCTCCGCCGCCGGCAGCTGTAGTGCCGGGGCTGTAAGCTCAGGCACTAGCACCTGGTCATCTAGAGAGACCGTATCTCTCTTAGGCAGGATGAAGGCAAGAGGCTCCTGGACGACATCGAGGTTCACATGCCCAAGGTTGCCGTACTTGGAGAGCTGAGTGGGTGGAATGCCTGACAGATTGTAGAGAAAGAAACAGAGAAACGTTATTAATAAAAGTCAATATAGATGTGTGTTTCACACACAAAGAAGAGGAAGAAACAAACAATTATGTAAGGATGTCGTGGCACTGGCCTGTAATCCCAACACTTTGAGAGGCTGAAGCAAGAGGATCACAAGTTTGTGTCCCACCTGGGCCGTTTAGTGAGACTCCGTATTAATATTTTAAAAAAGAAGTCGACTAGGAAGGGATATAGCTCAAACCCTGGGTTCACCCCGGGAAAGGAAGTGTTGAAAATAGTATGGTTGTACTCTTCACACTTACCAGAAACTATGCAAATAGGTGAATTATTTACTTAAGTGAATGACATACAAGTAAAGCAGCTTAAAAAAATCTCTTACCTAAAATCTGTGCTATCTGAGCTGGTGGGAAAAGGACTTGAAGGCAGCGATTTAAATACGGAACAAGGTCCTCCAGGAAGACAGTGCAGAACTGGACAAAGAGCTCCTGCTCACCACTACTGAAGGCAGCTTCTTCCGCGCGATGGAAAGCCAGGATTATCTTGGTCACCTAAAAGACAGGAACACCATGGAGGACTGGGGCTGTAGCTCAGGGGTAGAGTGCTTACCCGGGATGCACAAGGCACTGAGTTCAAGTCCCAGGTTTGCAGGGAATAAACCAGTTGCTGAGGGCTGAGGGAAGTACATAAAATGAGCACAAAGGGGCAGCCCTCAGGCTTTCATGAAGAAAGATGTCCTGTCATTCCTAACAGTACTTCACTATTTTGTTTAAACCCAGCACTTGGTCAATCTTCACACTTCTGTCACTTTCATGATTGTGTGTGTGTGTGTGTCTTTTTGAAACAGCATTTCAGTATGCAGTTGAGGCTGGTTTGAACTTATTTTGTAGCCCAAGCTAGCCTCAAACTCACAGCAATCCTCCTGTCTCAGCCTCCTGAGTGCTGGGATTACAGGTGTGCACCACCACGCCTGGCTCCACCATGATGCATTTCTGACCCAATTTGCCTCACTACTAACAGTTTCCAGTTCTAGGAAGCATCATGGAATTATAGAGAAGCATCATGAAATTATTTGGAGAACACCTGGGTTTTGATGCCCACAGGGGTAGACTAGGTCTGTGACAGATGCAGGAACATGAAGCAGCTGACTCTAATTTCAAGGAAGACTAGCCAGGGCAAGTGTGGCTCAAATGGACCTTCAGAAATGGGTACACAGAAGAGACTTGAGTGGAGGAGATGCTGTCCCACAGGAAAAAACAGCCATAGTGCAGCTGCCAGTGGAGGAGATGCCTCTGGGAGCAGAGGCTCTCAGTCCTGTGACCTCTGCAGCAGCAAGGAATGAAACTTGTCAACCTGCAAGGAACCTGAGCTCCTGATGACACCACAGCCCACTGGCACCCTGTCTACACTCTTGTGAGACCCTGAGCAGAGGTCCTAGGGACACTGCACCTGGCAGTGATATATTGCTTTAAGCTGCTGCGTTTGTGGGGGATTTGTTTTAAAGCAACAGAAAATGAACACACCAGGAGTGTGGGCCAGGGGTTTAGCTCAGCAGTTTAAGTGCCTGCGAAAAAGAAAAGAAAATTAACACACTGCTGAGTTACAAGTGAGCCTCTTCACAGATTCATCAAGATTCATGAAGGGGGACTAATCAGAACCTCCCAATGAGAAACACCTCTGAAACCACAACACATCTCTCCAAGTTGGCAGGCACCACTGTCATAAGGACTGGTTTCTGACTGGTTTCTGGCCACCATTAACTGAGGGGAGCAGGGGGAAGAAAGCCAATGAATGTTCTCACCTTGGCAAGGGCATCCTCCAACGTCCCTGTCACATTCTGTGCCAGGGCCACAGGGCAGCAGAGACGCAAATCATTGAAGGCGACCAGAATACTGTTAAGGAAGCAGGCAAGGGGTGGGAAGTCCAAGAGTACCATGGGCGGCTGCAGCGTGCCCGGCTGAGTGGCTGGCACAGCAACAGGCACATTACTGCTGCCCAGGATGGCTGGGGCCGAGATGAGAGTATACGAGTTCATTTCATCCTGGAATTTCTCCACTGCTTCCTGAATTGCCTTCTGGAAAGTGGCAATGGCCACCCGCTGGAAAACAGGTGCTAACTGTCCCCGGAAATCGGCCCCAACACGGCTGAAGGACAGCCCGAAGTACATACACTGGCCCAGCAGGGAGTCCAGGCGGCCACCCACCCCCCGGCAGAGGTCGGCCTCCAGCACTTGCAGGAACTGGGAAACTTTCTGCAGCACCCAGCCATGGAAGATGGCACCCTCGTTCACGGTGTGCCTACCCACAGCAGGGGGCAGCAAGGGGTCCTCATCAGAGAAGATGGCTCGGTACTGGGTAATGATATCGAACAGGTGGACACGGCAGGCCTCAATGGTTTTGGTGATATGGAAGTAGGGATCATCGCTGGGGATGGCAGTCAGGATGGAGCGGAGCCAGGTGTCTCGGGCCTGCAGAAACTTCACTCTCAGCTCGGCCTCAGTGAAGACGTCCATGCGCCGCAAGTAGCCGATGACGCGGAGGCAGGCAGGGAGCTGGACATTGGTCCTCAGTTGTTGGATCAGCTGGCTCAGCATCAGCTGCATGGACTGGCGCACTTCGTTCACAATGCCCTGTGGAGACAGGGAGCCAGTCGCTAACCCTGAACATGAGCAAACAACATTGCTGCAGCTTCCTCACCTAGAAAATGGATCTGGTTGTACAACGCTTTTGCTTAACACGTTTAAAACCTTCTAAGGAGCCAGGGATATAACTCAGCGGCACAGAGCCCACCTGGCAAGTGCAAGGTTGTGAGTTCGATTCCTGGTACCCCAAGGATGTGTTATGTACATATATCAACTCCACATGATGGATGTAATCATTGTGTGCTGCAAATGTGTAGTAAGAAAAGAAGTTTTTCCAAGGATTCTCCCTACAATCAGTAGACTTCCAGCAACTCACTACAGCCTCCAGCCTTGCCTGGCTCTTCAGCTTCACTTGCTTCCCAAGTTCTACATCTCAGTGCAGTCCAGGAATCGCGGCTTCTTTTAAACATTCCAACTTCTTTTTTGTTTTGAAACAGAGTCTCAGCATGTAACCCAAACTGGCCTCAGGCTCACAGTGATCCTCCTGCCTCAGCCTCCCGAGTGCTGGGATTACAGGCGTGAGCCACCAGGCCCAGCCAACACCCCCAGCTTCCTTCTGCCTCCGCTCGCCACTTGTTCTTCACACTTTCTGGTCTGCGGTCTCCCCAGACCAGCATGTGATGGCTCCATCTCATCATTAGGTCTCAGCTTGTCACCTCTCTAGAATGGTTTTCCTTAATCACACTACCAAAAGAGCCCATCTTGCTTTTTCTCCACCCCATTCTCTGGTTTATTTTCTTCAGACACCATTCTCTCTCTTTTTTTTTTTTTATTGGTACCAGGGATCGAACTCACAACTGCGCACTTGCAAGGCAGGCGCTTATGCCACTGAGCTAAATCCCCAGCCCCCAGACACCATTCTCTGAAAGGATCCTATTATTTATTTGTCAACTCCCAGACCCTCACTAAAAGCTAAGCCTCATAAAAGCCACAACCTCAACTGCCTTGTCACATCGTATCCCCAACACCTAAATCAGTGCCTGGCACACGATTAATAAATACCTTTGAATGATTAGATATATGTATAAATTCACATTGTTTACCCACATCTGCCTGACTGGCAGAAAATGATGTGAAACACGCAAAGGTTTTTACTTACGGGTTTAGTCACTACCACTCAATGACTGATTCATGGCTACCTGGATGACAGGGATGGCGGAGTATTTCCTTTCTAGGCGGTGAACGTAGGCTGCAAGCTCCAGGGCCTCTTCATAATAGCTGTTCCGGACACAGGTGTCCATGAGTTGAGGAATCTCCAGAATTTCCAGGATTTCTGTGTGCCGGTTGAGAGTCAGGGTGTTCATCCGGCGGCTGGCGCTGATCTCCTCAGCTTCCTTCACAAAGTTCCTACAAGCAATCAGGGAAACACTGGGACCTACTGCTCTGCACCTACTCCTCCCCCGTCACGGAGAATTTACTGTGAAGTGGGCACTGGGTTGAATGGTTTCCCTAATTTAATCCTCATGTCACAACTATTAGTGCTATTACACTTGAGGATTTTTTTTTTTTTCTTTTCTGCTGGTATAAGGCATTGAATCTTGGTTTGTGCACTGTGTTACATCCCCAGCTCCCACCCTTTTGAGAAATGTTCACATTAAGTTACTAAGTTGCCCATACTGGGCGCAAACTGGTGATCTTCCTGCCTCAACCTCCAAAATGGCTGGCATTATATGGATGTGCCACTACATCAAGAAGAAAGTTTTGGCTTTTTCAAGATCATTTCACTGCTAGGCAGGGTGGTAGACACCTGTAGTCCCAGCACTCAGGAGGCCGAGGCAGGAGTGCTGCAAACTCAAGGCCAGTCGGGGCTACATAAGCAAGTTTAAGCCCAGCCTGCACTACATTGCAAAACTCTGTCTCAAAAAAGTGGAGAGGAGAAAGAAAAAACATTTAAAAAAAGATCATACCATTAATAAAACACTCACAGACCCAATCAGCTGATGGACTGCTGCGCTTCCAACAAGGCAAGACTAGCAGGACTAACGAGCTGTGGCAAGCTATCAGCCTCTCTAGACTGATTTCTTCATTTGTAAAATATTAATGGGAACACCCAAGTATGGGTGTAAAGGTAAAATCAGATGGTGCCCATGAAGCATTTAATGTAGACCATTGTGTAAAGTAAATGTGTCCAAAAAAAAAAAAAAAAGAAAAAGAAAATGTGTCAGAGAAAGAGACCCAAATAAAACGTTCCCTTAAAATAGTTATTACGGGCTGGGGATTTAGCTCAGTGGCATAAACGCCGGCCTTGCAAGCGCTTGCAAGCCTAAGCTCGATCCCCAGTACCAAAAGAAAAAAAAAAGGTTATTACTAGCCAAAAACTGTACTGAGGATCTAAGGAAGGTCTTTCTGATTTTTGATGTCTCAGTGACAGGATTTCCCTGTCGGCCTCCTATCAATGGAAATTCTGAATTAGATAATCGCTGGTCTATTTACATAAATGTGCACACACTTTAATCGGACAACATTTATAGTGTGAACTATGTCAGACCAGTGTGCTGTGTAGATTCTTTTAGTACTCATAACAGTCCCAGAGGCAGGGACGCGCACTTAGGTTCCAGTTCTGACTCGGAAACTTAACCAGCGGGGTTCTTAGGCAAATCGCTAACCTCTGTGTCTCCACTTCATCAGGAACACTGGAATGGCAGTACCCACCTCGAAGGCTGTTGCGAGCCCTGCACACGGTATGCGCTACGAGTTAGCTATTTCTATCACCCTAAGTGTGGGCTATCACAGACACCCTTTTGGCGCTGACCGCCGCACCTGCAGCTCTGCTGGAAGCTGGGCAGGCGGTCGAGGAGGCGACCGAGCGATCCCTCCACGTCGCCGAAGAGGCGGTGGATGCGCTCGGTGCACTCGGCGCCTCGGATGAAGGTCTTGTAGTTGGCGAAGGCCAAGTCGCGAGTCTGCTGTAGCAGCTGCGCCCGCTCCTCCGCCAGGCGTTCAGGCTCGCGTCGCAGCCGCTCCAACCCCGAGCCGCTTAGTTCTCGGAGGTAGCGGCCCACGTCGGGCCGCTCCCGCCACTGAGCCTCGGGGAAGCGGTCCCGGAAAAGAGATGCCAAGAGCCCTTCATCTTCCACCTCCCCGAGAGCCGCTGACGTGGCTGTCGCCATGGCCGACGCTGGCGCTGAGGATGGGAGAGTCACCGCCGCCGCAGCCACAGCTGCCATCTTCCCGGCAACAGGGTCAAGTCTCCTCCACACCGCAAAGGGCGCTGTCTCGCACCTAGGACCGGAAACAGCTGGGGCAAATTTCCTGTCTCTATGGTTTCTTATCTGACTGGGTTGTTTTGTCTCCCCCCCCCACCCCCGCACCGGAGGTCCTCCATGCTAGGGGTCGCTAGCTTGAACCAACGACTGCATTGGCGCTAGAGGGGCAGGCTTTAGGGTTGCCGGGAAGTGGCCGGCGGCCAACTTCCGGTTCCGACTGCTGAGGCACGAGGATCCGGTGTTCAGATCTACCGGGAAAATGCGGCCTTTAACTGAAGAGGAGACCCGAGTGATGTTTGAGAAAATCGCAAAATAGTAGGAGCGCGGGGAGGGCGGAGGGAATGTGTATGTGGTGGGGAGTGAGTGGAATGCGGACGCGGGGCCCGGTCGAGTTGGTTCGGGCGCAGCCTGCAGCCCTCTTTTTGCCCTCAGCATCGGGGAGAACCTTCAGCTGCTGGTTGACAGGCCCGACGGCACCTACTGTTTTAGGCTGCACAACGACCGGGTGTACTACGTGAGGTGAGCGGGGGCGCGCGACAGTGGGCGGAGGGGGCCTGGGTCCCGTCAGCTCCCTCCGCTGAACCCTTGCTCCCCGTCATCCTTGCAGCGAGAAGATGCTGAAGCTGGCGGCCAATATCGCCGGGGACAAGCTGGTGTCGCTGGGCACCTGCTTCGGCAAATTCACCAAGACGCACAAGTTCCGGCTGCACGTAACGGCTCTGGATTACCTGGCGCCTTATGCCAAGGTGGGCGGGGAGGGGCGAGGCCGGGTGTCCCGGGCTCGGGCCGGCGGGACCCGAGGGCCGGGGGTGGCGGGATGGGGGAGGCTCCATGGCGGGCCGTGCAGGTGTGCGTCGAGGCGGGGGGAAATTCCTGTCCTTTTCTCTGTCTCCCTCCTTCTCTCCAAATTCTTTTGCGAAATTAATACCAGGGGGCTGGGGATTTAGCTCAGCGGCATAAGCACCTGCCTTGCAAGCGCCTGGTCGTGAGTTCGATCCCCGGTACCGATTAAAAAAAAAAAAAAGGAAATCCCAGAACCGACAGCGAATTTATCAGCAGGGATATAACTTAGCTTGTTTTCTTTGTCTGTTGGACTTTCTCTGTCTTGCAGTATAAAGTGTGGATAAAGCCTGGGGCCGAGCAGTCTTTCCTGTATGGAAACCACGTATTGAAATCCGGTCTGGGCCGCATCACCGAGAACACTGCTCAGTACCAGGGCGTGGTGGTGTACTCCATGGCCGACGTCCCCCTGGTGAGTGGCGATGGCAGTGTTACAGAAACCAAGGGCCTTTCTTTTTTTTAACCTTGAAGTATACATTTTAAACCTGTGCGCGTCAGAGAGTAACTTCTCGGCACCTTCGAATTTCTCGAGGACAAGAACAGCGGTTTTTATTCTCTCCAGCCCTCGGCATGGGCTTATTGAATGACTTGAGTGAATTAATCTTCTCTTTTTTTGAATCCCAGGGTTTTGGGGTAGCAGCAAAGTCTACACAAGACTGCAGGAAGGTAGACCCTATGGCGATTGTGGTATTTCATCAAGCAGACATTGGGGAATACATACGGCATGAAGAGACCCTGACTTAAAGTGAAGGCGTCACAAGGACTTAATAGCACAGCGCTGTGGAAGGGCCTAGCTTTGTTTCCTGTGCAGATGCCTCTTTATGTGGAATTTTGTCACCACTGTGACCTCTACAAAGGACTTCTTAGTTTAATATTATGTCTCTAACAAGTGGAGGCTGGATTCTTACTGTACAGAAATGCCTCAGAAGTGGAATTTTAGATCTTTGTATTTTTGACTAAGTAGAATACTCTTATTGTGTATTTTTTATATTTGAATCAGAGGGCTTCTTGTTCTGAATGATAGATTCTAAATCATTGGAACCAAGGACAAGAAGAGCTTATCATTGTTATCTGTGATAACATTTTGTTTTCCAGACTCATAAGAGCACAATGGACTTCCATTTTTATGACTATCATGAAAGATATTAGAATATAAGAATAATAGCCTACACCAGGTGTGGTGGTGTACACCTGTAGTCCCAGGACTCGGGAGGCTGAGGCAGGAAGATGAGTTCAAGGCCAGCTGGGACTGCATAGTGAGACCCTGTCTCAGAAAAATAAAAAGAATACTATCTAATGTCTTCGGTTTTACAAGTGAAATTTGGCTCAAGTAGTAAGTGTAAGTTTTTGTTGTTACATTTTAGAATGATAATGTCCATCATAGGAAATTTCTGTCTGTACCTGCTACCGCTTGCTGCCTTTTCCCCATTTCCCTCCCCTCCCCTCCCTTCAGCCCCCGTCCACTGCTTATTTACAAAAGCTTGGTTTCCATTCTTTTCCCTTCTAGTCTTTCTCACCCTTCTTCCCCTTTCCCCATCCCTTGTTCCTTTTCTCATTTGAACTTTTTTTTGCGTTTCTCAGTATCTGTTATACATTTTGATTCTTATAGTAAGTGTAATTCATTCTGCTGTTTTTCCATACAGTAAGTGTTGCATATGTGGAAGAAAAACTTCTATTTAAACCCCAGATCTTCTGCCTCCCAGCTTTTTGGCTTTGGAGGGAGTCATTCAACTTTAATGTGTTGTTTTCTTTTTATTTTCCTTTTCCTTTTTCTGTTGGTACCAGGAATCAAACTCACATCCTTGTGCCTGCCAAGCAGGCATTTGTGCTGCTAAGCTATCTCCCCGGCCCTCTTTTCTTCTTTTATAAAAAAAATAGCCTTAAACCATCAGTCTAGGGGCTGGGGATTTAGCTCAGCAGCATAAGCGCCTGCCTTGCAAGCAGGGAGTCATGAGTTCAATCCCTGGTACCGATAAAAAGGAAAAAGACAAAAAAAACGTGGCTTTTACGATCAGAAATCATGATTGTAAAACATTTACAATGCCTGGAAAATGGTAGGTGCTGAATAAATGGTAAGAGTTATTTTTGTATTACAGTATTTCTGTTACTAAACATAGTATCTTCATGTAATGTGATTATGTTGTTTCTTTTTTTTTTTTTTTTTTTTTTTTTTTTTGTCTTTTTCATTTTTATCAGTACCAAGGATCAAACTCACGACCACCTGCTTGCAGGGCAGGCGCTTATGCCGCTGAATTAAATCCCCAGCCCCGATTATGTTGTTTCTTTACATGATGGGATACTCCCAGGCTGAAATGTTCTTTTCATTTTAATTTCATAAAATACAGGGCTGGGGATTTAGCTCAGCAGCATAAACACCTGCCTTGCAATCAGGCGGTCGTGAGTTCAATTCCCGGTACTGATAAAAATGAAAAAGACAAAAAAAAAAAAAAAAAAAAAGAATTTCATAAAATACAATTTCCCTTAGAACCCCCTCTTGCATGACTAGACTGAACCAAAAGCACTAGATACCATGAAATTATAATTTAGCTCCTTCATCCTTCCCATACTTCCCAAAATTATTTTTAGAATTAATAAAACATTTTAACATGGATTTTATTGGTACTTTTTAGATACATATAACAATCATAATAAAATGTCTTTGTTACTTTAGGGGCAGCACCAGGAATTGAACTTGGGATCTCACAGTTACCAGGAAGGCACTGTGCCACTGAGGTACATCCCTGGCCCAACTTTTTTGTTATGTTTTGTTTTGGTGCCAGGGATTGAACTCATGACCTCGAGTTTGCCAGGCAGGCACATAAGTTGCTGAGCTACCTGGCCCCTAAGCCCAACATTTTAAAACGTTTTACACCCCAAAATTTTTCAGACTGCTTGTGTTGTGAAACAACAATTTCTTTCTTTTTTTTTAAATCTGTCCTGGGGATCGAACTCACGACCGTGTGCTTGCAAAGCAAGCACTTATACTGCTGAGCTGAATCTCTAGCCAAAGAACTTCTTGATATACTGTATGTTATTTTTAATTCAAATGTTTATATCCTTAAAAATAAACATTTTAAACTACAAAAAGGCATACTACTAAGTCATTCTCTGCAAATTTGATTTTGTCCCACCTTTTTTAATTTTTGCTGCTAGTGCTTTCTGTTCTCCATTAGGTGGAATCAGTGAAAGCTAAGGAAGTGCTACGTGATAAACAGTATCTTGATCTTACATGTTTAACAGAGTCACAGTGGAGCCCTAATTTGTATGTCTTGCTGCCAGGCTGCTCTACCCAGCAGAGATCAAGCCTCCAGGAATGAATTAATACATACTTAAGATACAGCCAATCTCGGAGCGTTTACATTAGTATGACTTTTATTGCCATTTTACTGTTTTTGAAAAGCACAGTAGCCTCAAATATTAAACTTAATTCTTTCTGATTTTGCAAAGGAGAGTTCAGTACCGCTTTGACAAGGCTCTACCTCAGCAGAAAAGCCCAGATGCTATTGTCAGCTTAGCATCTTGGTGTTTTTGTGTGGCTTATTGTTGGAACATTGAAGAGACGTTTCACAAAATACAGCTGCAAGATACCAGATAGCACAATAACAAGGCTCTGGGCTATGGACCACCAGTTCACATAGTTATAGTTTGATTGAAGAAGGAAAAAGTCTGCCATCTTTCTCATCCGAGCAAAGTTGTAAAACCGCCATATATGAAAGACATTACTTTGCATCCTTTGTGTACTCACCTGTGGAAGAGAAAAGAAAGGTCCCACCTGCATCTGTCCTCATCTGTGCTCAGCAACACCAACCCACATTTTATACTGTGACAGTTTTGGCTGGTGATGTAGCACAGGGGTAGAGTACTTAACCTAGCATGGCCAAAATGACCTCAACTTCAGGAATGCTAAGCAAGTGATCTACTAAGGTGCTCCTAGCCCAAAAAGTATTTTCTTGGTAATGGGGATTAAACCAGGGCCTCTCATAGATTCACCAAATGGTCTACCAACAAACTACCACCAGCCTTTTTAAAATTTTTTGAGAGGGCTGGGGATTTAGCTCAGTGGCATAAGTGCCTGCCTGGCAAACACAAGGTTATGGGTTTGATCCCAGATACCACAAAAAGTAAAATTTTTTGAGAAAAGGTCTCACTAAGTTGCCCAGGCTGGCCTTGAACCTGGCTCCTCTTGCCTCAGCCTCCCCAGTAGCTGGGATTCCAACCATATATCACAATGCTGAGTTGTGGTTTTTTTTTTTTTTTAATAATGAAAGACTAGGGCCCAAGGATGTAGCTCAGTGGCACAAGCACCTGCTTGGCAAGCACAGTCCTGAGTTTGAACCCTGGTACCACACACAAAAAAAGTAATACTGAAAAACTAGTGCTCAAACTAAGGAACTCGTCCAAGTGAGCCTAAGTTTAGACATGAATCCAGCATTTCATTACCCTTTAGATGGTGCTTTCTGTCTGCAGATTTATTGTTAAAGGGCCAAATTGTAAATATCTTTGGTTTTACAGGACATACTGTCTGGGAGCTACCAAGATGTGCCATTGTAGCATGTTGGAGACCACTGTGAAGCAGCTCTGAGCAGGATTTAAAATTAATTGGCTTTCTATGTTTTATCTGTGAGTCTGTCCTAGGACTTGGCCTCTTGCCTGATAATGGGAGCTGATTCATAGTGAACCTCTATGAATCACTGGTCCTGGCTGAGGCCTGTAGTACTTGTGAGGCCAGAGATACCTCAAAGGGCAAAATAAGGCCACAGCTGCAGACATCGCCTTCAAACACCAATGAAGTAAATAACTGCAGCTGCAGACGTCTGCGGTCTCACTCCTACCATAAATGTCATCATGGAGATAAGATGGTTCTCCTGAGTTGGCGGCCCAGAGAAGCTCTTTGTCTTAGCCCTTATCCTAGCCAGAGTCAGGAACTGTGCAAGAGGGTTTGATCCTCCTGGAGCCCTAAAGTCGTACTACTTGTCTCTTATTTAAGCCTTCGCCAAACACTTGTTTAGGAGATTGGAAATCTAGGCCAGGTCCCCGATAGTAGCACAAAAGTAGTCATAGACAATGTGATTGTCAGATGACCATGGCTGTGTTCTAGTAAAACACAAAGGCCATGAGCTTTTGTGCACCAAAGAAACTATTGAGAAAGTGAAAAGATATCCCACAGAATGGAAGAATACCTGCAAATCCTGTACCTGGTCAGGGTCTTACCAAGAACATAAAAATAAATTAACTATATTTTGTTTTGTAATTTGGTCTGAGGATCAAACCTAGGGCAAGTTCTATACCACTGAGCCAGATGCCAAATTCCCAGCCCAAAAAACCCAATTTTGAAGTGAGCAAAGGATCTGAGCAGACAGTTCCCCAAAGATTTAGATACACAAATGGTCAGTATGTGAAGAAAAGGTGGCTACCACTAATTGTTAGGGAAATGGAGCTCAGCACAAATGGCACTTCATACCCACTACTATGCCTGTGATTAACAGGCAGGGTCATGAGTGATTCGAAGTCTGGTACACTGCGGATGGGCGTGTGAAAGGGTTAGCCACTGAAGAAGTGTGGCAGCTCCTCACAAAGTTATAAGTTAAAAGTCCCACTTTTAGGAGTACAGAAAACATCAACATGAGAGCTTGTATTCAGTTACAGCAGCCTTGTAGCCAAAAGGTAGGAACAACCCAGTGTCCATCAGCTGACGAGTGGATAAAGTGTGTCTTCATTCAGTAGAACATTCTTCAACCATAAAAAGAACAAAGTACTGATAAAAGCTACTTGAATAAGCCTTAAAAAATAAATGGAAAATACCAATTGAAAAAGCTACATCTGAAGCAGAAAGATGGATGTGTGAGCTTGAGGGTTGGCTGGGCTACAAAGTAAGTTCAAGGCCAGCCTGAACTGCACAGTGAAACCCTGTCTCAGACCCCCCAAAAAGGGCACATGGATGATTTAATCTGTATGAAATGTATAGATAAAATGAATAGGTCAACCTATAGAAACAAAGTGGAGTAGTTATTGCCATGGCTGGAGAATTGAGAATCACTAGTGGGTACAAGCATTTCTTTTGAAGGTGAGAAAATTATTCTAGTTTAGATGGTAGAAATGGCTATATAACTATGTAAATACACGAAGCATTTTTTAGTAAATTGCATAATTTATGCATTATATCAAGTAAAAAAGGCAGTAGGACAAATTGGGCCTGTGAGCCATAAATTTCCAGCTCATGGTATGACACAAGAAATTCAAATAATAAAAATGTATGAAAGGAGGCTGGGGATTTAGTTGAGTGGCACAAGCAAGTATGCGGTTGTGAATTCAATCCCTGGTACCGATAAAGACAAAAAAAAAATATGAAAGGGTGCCAGTGTGGTGGCGCACAGCTATAATTTCAGCACCCTGGAGGCTGAGGCAGGAGGACAGCAGTGACCAGCGCAGCTCTAAATGTTCCCAGGGAGAAGGATGGTGAGAGGATGAGAAAATGTCAATTTCAAGCCTGCTGCCTAGCAACTTGTTTGCCTGGCTGGCCTGACCCTTGCCTTCTTGGAGCTGGAAACACTTGCTTATGAGACTTGTTTGGGGTTCTCTGTTCTCAGGGCTGGCCTTGCGTTAGCCCCATGCATGTGATCAATCTCCAGCTTCAACAGCTCCCTACAGAAGACTAACGAGTCCAAGGCCATCCTGAACTACATAGTGAGACTGTCTCAAAAAATGGACATTTACAAACGGATTCAAATTTCCTTCCCTGTTTTGATTTTACCCATATGAGCCCTCGTACAATATTACTCCCTTAATTTTCTTTTCTTTTCTTTTTTTTTTTTTTTTTTTTTTTTTTTTTTTTTTTTTTTGTCTTTTTCTTTTTAATCGGTACCGGGGACTGAACTCATGACTGTCTGCTTACAAGGCAGGTGCTTATTCCGCTGAGCTAAATCCCCAGCCCCGCTCCCTTAATTTTCAATCTTTTTGCTTTTAAAAATACGTTTATTAGGGTAATACATGTTTGCAGTACATAATGATTACATTTACTGTAGGGAATTGGTTCCTGTATATACCAATTCCAATTCTTTATCTTCCCCCTTCTCTCCCCCACCCCAAGGTTTAATCTGTTACTGAAATTTAAAATTAGTTCCCATGATGTCTCTTCCACAAAACATTACCTCAATTGCATCTAGGGTATCATTCAGGTGTTTCCTTTGATTCTGTTTGTGGTTTATCTCAGGCCCCTCATAGAAGACTCCAAAGTTGAGGTAGACTTGTACAGAACTAAAGCGATTTTGCTGGTTTTTTAGACAAAGCTGGTAGTAACCTGTAGGAATTCTTAGATCATTAGTGAATCTTTGGTTCCCCCCCCAACACACACACACACACACACACACACACACACACAGGTTTGAGACAGGGTCTCACCATGCAGACTGGCCTTGAACTTACTATGTAGCCCAAACTGGCCTTGAAGCCTCTTGAATGCTGTGATTAAAGGTGTGTGCACCACTACACCCGCTTTCCTACTCTATTTTAATGTTTTCCAAGAGATGTCTGTTGCCCAGCTTTTTTGTGAGGGAGTTATGTGAGTTGAGACAGGGTCTCACTATGAAATACAGTCTAGACTTGAACACATAATCCTCCTGTCTCAGCTTTCAGAGTGCTGAAATTACTGGCATGGACTACCACATCTGGCTTTAAAATTGCTACTGTAGGCTGGGGATTTAGCTTAGTGGCATAAGAGCTTGCCTGGTAAGCACGAGGTCATGAGTTTGATCCCCGGTACCGCAAAAAAAAATAAATGGAATAAAATAAAATTGCTACTATAGCTCATTGTTTTTATTTAGGAAATACAAAGAGCCCTTTTTAACATAGAGGGCACTGGTCTTACCTGAAACTTATTTTAATAAATATTACTAATAGAGCTAAGTGTAGTGGCTCATGCCTTAATACCAACCCTTGGGAGGCTGAGGCAGGAGGATTGCTGCTAGTTCAAGGCCAACCTGAATTATATAGCAAGACCCTGTTACCAAAAAATGTTACTATTATCAGTACTTTTAGTTGTGCTGGGTGGAAAACTGTTTTTTCCCCCTTCCCATCTCCAGTTCCCATGTCTTTTGTTAAGGCTCTCCTGCTTGTACATCATTAGAGCTGGGGACATTTGTGTGTGTGTGTGTGTGTGTGTGTGTGTGTGTGTGTGTGTGTGTGTGTATGTGTGTGTGTGTGTGTGTATGTGTGACTGAACTCAGGGACTGCTGAGCTATACACAGCCCTTTTTAGTATTTGTAGACACAGTCTCCTACTCTGCTTGGGCTGGCTTCAAACTTGCTATCCTCCGGCCTTAGTCTGGAAGGTAGCTAGGATTGCAGTGTTTGCGCCCAGCTGGGTACACCATCTTGAACTTGAAACTGGGGTGAGGGTGAGGATACACTGAGAATGAAAGAAACTGCCCTCCTGGAGTAATTGTGACGCTGCCTTTGGGGCTCCTTTTCCTGCTGTTTTGGGCTGCAGTCCTCTTCCTTTGTGTGTTCGCAGGCCCTGGGGCTTGCAGAGTTTGAAAGCTAAAATGATTGGAAGGCACTACTGGCCAGAGGGGCAAAGGTGCCGAACATCCGTGAATTCTGACGGGAATCCCACCGCCCAGTGGAGCTGTCTGATGCTGCTGCTGCCTTAGTGAAGACGGTGGCGCAGACTGACTGCACTTGTCCTTAGTGGGACAGGCCTCATCTGGCTGGGCGAATTTTCCGGCTGGAGCAGTGTACGTTACCTACATGGCCATGCATTTCTTTTTTTTCTGAATCTGCTATAGTAACTGGGCTAAGTATTCTGATGACTGGAAAGAAATGCTGCCCCATGTTTTATTATTTGCAATTCTATGTTCCAAATTGTTCTGTGTTAGCCCCTTCCCTAGTCTGGTCAGTCAGGGATGAGACTAAGCCTCAGGACCCTGCAGTGACAGTGGTCACCTTGAGACGCTGCCCTCAGATTGCTGCTACCGGACTGCAGTCTGATGTCTTCAGCCATCTCCAGGAGCACTGGGTTTTGATGCTGGAATTTCATCCATTTTGCCATCTCTATGTACAGCACTTCATTATTTCCCCAGTTTCACAGAAACCTGTTACATTAGTCATGGGGATGAAAACAGACCTGTCTCTTGGGTAGAGAAGTTAATCTGGCCCCGAACATCCCAGGAGGTGTCTATGAGGGATCCCTTTGGGGTATGCACTGTGGCAGCAATGTGCCGGTCCTGCGACATCCCAAGTATCCGCTGAACCTGCCAAGACACATGAAGGAGAGCAGAGAGCCCCGTGACATCACCTAGGTGATAAGACTGACATCCCATGACCCTCAGCAGAGCTCTGTCTAGGATGCTACTACCCATCCACCCGTTTCCGGGTAGTGTACGACTGAGGTAGCCTTTCACTTCACACACTGACAGCATCGTGGCTAAGCCCCATCAATGCTCAGGTTCTGCAATGTCAGATACAGTACAACAGGGGAAAAAAAAATCAAAGCTGCGTGTGGTGGCGCACTCCTGTAATTCCAGCACTCGGGAGGCTGAGACAGGAGGATCTTCGCAAATTCAAAAACACCAGCCTGGCTACAAAGTGAGCCCAAGGCCAGCCTGAACCGTATAGTGAAACCCTGTCTCAAAAAGACCAAAAAGAAAAAAAATCACCCAAAATACTAAGAGCTCCTTTGTTGAGGAGGAAGATGTGTCCGGACCACACCGCTGGTATGAACCAGTTGATCATATACTTCAGCCCATAAAGATCTCAGCTGAACTTGCTTTGTAGTTGAGCTTTCTAGTGGTGAGCTCTCAGACTGGGTATTTGCTTACTTGGCAGCCCTCATCTATAATTGGCACTCCACGAACATTTGTCTCTAGGCTGGATTTTGATAAGCCCAAGCTACAGTGAGTTGACTAGTAGCTACTGTTCTGATAAAATTCAGGGTTAAGAAAAAGCTCTGATAAGTTAAATTTTAAGTTCAATGGAATAAAGTAAGCCCAACACAATCTCTTACTATATAAATTGGAAAATTAGGTTTCTAAGATAAAGTTAACAACCACAGTATAGATGAAATTATTTTAGCCTTGGGCAGAAAATGTAAACACTTATATCTCCAGTTGCCGGAATTACCCCTAAAGACGGAGAGTGGATGCGGCTCCCCTGCCACGCACTAATGCAGCCTTCTTAGAATCTGTGTCTAGATTCAACGCTGTGACTTTTTCATACGAATCTGTACTGTGTTCATATTTTTAAAAAAATATTTTAGGGGATGGGGATTTATCTCAGGGGCTAAAGTGCCTGCCTGGCAAGCACGAGGTCATGAGTTCGATCCCCGGTATCCCCTCCAAAAAAAAATCACAGTGTATCCTTTCTCTTACCCCCAAACTCAAGGAAGCGGGCTAGCATTTCAGGGAGTGGTGCCATCTGGCCCAAGGCTTTGAGCGCATCTGCAGGCCCCAGTGTGAGGGGCCAGGCTGAATGTCTGAAACTTGGTTGGCGAGTTTCAAGTTAGAGGTCCACGCTTCATTCAGAGGTGGGAGTCACAGCATAACTGATGATCAGACCTTGTTTTTATGTAAGCCTGAGTGATTTTATGAAAGGGGAGAAAATGCCCCAGCTGAACCCACATACCTCATAGCTGAAGTAGAAGTAGCCATTCTGGTGGGCAAATTGCCAAAAGCATTCTATGCTCCCTGGAAGGATCAAGATGGCGAAGTCATGGCGTTCAGCCTCATGCAGCGGTTCCCCAGAGGCAGTTGGCTCTGTCTTCTGGCTCCTACCAGTTGTCACTAGATTCACAGCCACCAGCCCAGCCCAAAGGAGCAAAGGGGACATGGTGCTTTCTGTACCCCTCTGCAGGTGAACTACTGGCAGCCTCATGGAAATAAGTAGCTCAGACACATGCTGGGCTAATCATTAACCCCACAAAACACTGGCAGGCCAATTCTGGGCCATGCGTAGGTATTTCATATTAGAACTGCCACAGCACCTATGACCAGCTAACAGGAAACTTTTGCTTTTCCCTCAAACACTCAGTAGCTTAGCATACCTATAATTCCAGTTCTCTGGGAGGCTGAGGCAGGGGGATCACCAGTTCAGGGTCAGTTTGAGCAAATTAACAAAACCCTGTCTCATTATCATCAACATTAAAAAGGGATGGGGATATAGCTCAGTGTAAAGATACTCAGTTCATTCCCCAGTACCAAAACACAAAACAAGGCAAAACAAACAAAAAAGCCAAAACTTCAGTGGTTTACCAAACTTTTTCACGAGTGCTTAATGGTAGAATCCACTACTTAGGAAGAGATCTACATTCATTGTTTGGGCTCCAGTTTTTCAGTTCTTGCTTCTTGGGGGCTAAATATTGGATAAATTTCTTTACAGCCATCCGAATATACTAACAAGTTGGCTGGGGAAATGTTTGTCTTGTATCTAACTGATAACTGTTGCTATTATAAAATATCTACAGCAACACCTGTTTCAACAGAGTTCTGCCCAGTCTGGCTGACAGCAAGCCCCAGCATGTGATTCTCGCTCAGTTTAAAGCCCACCACTGACTGTCCTCCTGGTTTCTGCCAACTTCTACCTAATACATGCATTTAAAGTTACCCATAAAAAATCAATTTAAAAAAAAGCTATCCAAAACCTGTTCAAGATACTGTTTGAACCCTCAGACTCTTTAATTCAGTACCCACAGAGGGAAAGAAAAGCCATTTAAACCCACCCGAAGGGCCAAGGATGGAGCTTAGTGGCACAGCACCTGCCCAGCAAGCGCAAGGTTGTGAGTTCAATTCCAGGTACCAAAAATAAATAAACAAACCCCCTGAAGACTATTATGCTGTTCACATCATTCTTCTGCTCCCGACATCCACATGCACTGACTGTGGCAGGCACTGAGATGGCCTATCTGTGTCCTGTCTGACTTTATTCTCACTGCAGCACTCACAGCAATGTGATCTGCTGCCTCAGGTGAGGACAGCTGACATTCAGATTAAAGTGACTTAGTCCCACAGCACAGTTGACAGAGCTAGTCCTGATAGGTTTGTTTGTTTGAGACAAGATCTTACTAGGTAGTTGAGGGTAGCTTTGAACTAACTAGCCCAGGTTGGCCTCAAACTCATGAAGATCCTCTTGCCTCAGCCTCTGGGAGTGCTGCGATTACAGGAGTGTACTACCATGCCTAACTACCCAGACCTTTCCTGAGATAGGGTTTTACCAATTTGCCCAGGCCAAGTTTGAATTTGTGATTATCCTGCCTCAGCCTCCCAGTGTGCTGGGATTACAGACATTAATACAATTACAAGCATTAATTCCATGCCCAGCCTAGGGGTTCAGTGTTAACCTCCAAGATAACATTTTTTTTTTTTTTTTTTTTTTTGTCTTTTTGAGACAGGGTCTCTCTATGCAGTTGAAGTTGGCCTTGAGCTCACTTTGTAGCCTAGGCTGGTCTTGAACTCATGACAGTCCTCCTGCCTCAGCCTCCCAAGTGCTGGATTATAGATGTGAGCCACCACACCCAGCTAAGGTAGCATTTCTCAGTCTCTGAGTCCTAATGTCTAAACATTTTTTTTGGTAGTACTGGGGATTGAACTCAGGACATTGTGCATGTTAGGTAAACATTACCACTGATCTACATCCCCAGCCTGACCTTTTTATTTGAATCAGTCTTTTGTTTTGTTTTATAAATTCATTTTATTTCAAGGAGAAAAAGAAAAGATTTCAAAGCACATCAGTCAGGGTTTTTTTTTTTTTTTTTTTTTATGATCAGGTCTCATTATGTAACTCAGGCTGGTCTGCGACTGGTGACTGGCAACAGACCCTCCTGCATCAGGCATCATGCCAGCATATTTCAGTCAGTCTTAAAAAACAAACAAAAACTGCATTTCTATCTTCTAACCCGAGATGCTTAAAATACATTGCATCAGCTCCAAGTGTTACAATACACAGAAAACAGACTTCAAAAGTGTTTCAGTTCCAGCCAAGGCCAGGTGGCATCCAGTGCTTTGCAGGACACAGGACTTCCTGCACGAGCTCACTGCCACTGTAGTGCAGACAACATCATGATCAACAACTGCTTCAGCTACCTAACCAGTTCACAGGAAGTACCACCTTTTACAGAAACAAGCAGTGTTCTATACACACGTTTCAGTGGTGTTGCAATAAACATAACCCTGAAGTTCTGTGAAAAAAAAGTTAATGGACCGATGCACTGCCACGCTGGCAAACACCGACGGGGCGTCTTGCTCCCGATGCACTGCAGCCTCCCTCTTTTTTTTTTTTTGTCTTTTTCCGTTTTTATCGGTACCAGGGATCGAACTCACGATGCCTGCGTGCAAGGCAGGCGCTTATGCCGCTGAGCTAAACCTCCAGCCCAGCAGCCGCCCTCTTCTGCCTTGGGGGAAGGTGGGAGTTGGAGGTGGACAGCATCTGGACTCAGGGCTAGCTGGGGAGACCACAGCCAGCTGTGAGCAGACAGCAGCTGCACTGAGGAGGCCAAGAGCTCACTCTTCCCTGGGACTCCGCTTAGGGTGGCAGCTAGAGACACAGTGTCAAACTTCAAAACATGTAGATGATACAGCTGTGCAAAGCTTCCAACTTGGCACTAAAGGACAAATTTTAAAGGGTTAGCGTATCTTTAAAACTTGCCTTTCAGTCACTCAGAAAACCTTGGTTATGTAAGGAAGTGCATAAACCAAGAGGAACTCTCCATGTTATCTGCTTAACAAGGCATCCACGGATTAGCGCATCCGGTACAGTTTAACGGCGGCTTCGGGTCCGCACAGTTCAGCAAAGTTCATTCAGCATTTTGCCACTTCCATCTGTGAACACGTGCGAGGCTGCAACTGAACAGGTACTTACGGTTGAGAGAAGCAAAACTTTAATGAAGAATGCTACAAGTACGGACAATTAGTTCTCATATTTAAAAAAAAAGATTACAGAAAACACTTTACTGAAATCTTCTGCTAAAGACAGTCTTTAAGGATGTCTGGGAGAGACAGCAAGCACAACACAGTACAAAAGGAGCAGGGAATGTTGAGTCCAGTGCAAGACACTAACACAGCACAATTAGGGGATCAGGCGGAAGCAACCATTTCACAAAGAACGGAATTAGGCATTAATATTCAATCGGGATTTCTTTTAAGCTTTAAAAGTCCAGCATGAGAAGAAAATCAAGAAAGGAGTTAGAGGCAGGCGGTCGGGTGGGGGCTAAGCTTATCTACATTCACAATTTTACCAAAAACACACTGGTTCCACCACATGAGAAGTGGAGGTTAAACCTGCCCATGAGCCCAGCACATATGAAGGGCAAATGCCAAGGCAGTCAGGCCTAGGGCTGATGTCACAAGCGGGGGAACACTTTAAAAGGAATCAGATTCCAGAGACTGTTCTCTCAACTTGGGCTCATGATAGAAGAGTTTCTCTGCATCTGTGCCAGAAGGCCAGAACTTTACAAGGAACAAGTTCTCTCCAGACAACGCTCATGATGCTGGTTTTAACAGGTCATGGAATAAGATGTGGCTCCTAACAGACTCCACCATTTCTTAGGAGAAGGTTCTAAGGATTACTGGAGATTTACGTTTCAGCAAATCACTAAGGAAGGGAAACACTAATGATACTCTGGCACTGTACAAGCTGTGTGCCTGTCATCTCTGCCAAGGACACGGGATTGGCTTGGCTTTGCTTCTTAGTTCTTAGCTGCATGATCTCCAACAGTGATGAAGTGGACCTGGGACCTCCCCCGCACTGAGGGAGGCTGCCCAAATTTTCATCCCATCCCAGCTTCTGAAAGAAACAGCAGACTACCGGGGACTGTTATTAGGAGCCATGCTCCTGTGGATGCTGTTGAAATGAAAGCCTGTTTCAGTTCATGCCAAGTTTTTTCATGGTCCGCCAGCGATCCTTAATCATCACAGCTGTTCGGTTAACAAATGGGTAGTTTTTAGAAATGGCAACCCAGTTTCCTTCCCCGTATTTCTGCACTCCAGCTTTGACCCATTCACTTTCTTCTACAGTCCATTTCTGCAAAAGAAAACCAAAAGATTCATCAAAAGTCATCTTCATTCATTATCTTCTCCAAAACAGTAAATCCTAGAAGAGGGCAGGGGTTTTAGAAGGGTAGAGGGCTTGTGTAAGGGCCTAAGTTTGATCTTGGGCATCCCCCTGCCCCCACCAAAAAAATCCTAGGGGAATAATCTGACTTTAAGGATTTAGGATTGGGGATGTAGCTCAGCAGCTTAAGCCCCTGCCTGGCAAGCTCAAGGTTCTGAGTGCCATTCCTAGTACCAAAATTAATAAATAAAAGGAGGGCCTACCATTTAAAATATGGCATAGGCTGTAAATGAACTCTGTGGCTCTAGACATTTAAAAATTTTCAGTGTCCTGCCAGCTTGTTCTCAACTAATAATCACTTCTCTGTTCCAAGCATCAAAATTTGTGTATGTTGTTCTCAGTCTAAAAGGTTTATCAGGCTCTGTCCTCCTAGATTTTTCTTCTAAAGAATAAATATTAACTTGATCTGTCAACAATTCTTTTATTGGGGAGTTGTTTTCTGAGACAGGTGCATACCCATACAATGGTTTTTTGGTTTCTTTTGAGACAGGGTCTCACTACATTGTTCAGGCTGTCCTTGAACTCACAATATAGCCTAGGCTAGCCTCCAACTTATGGTGATCCTCCCGTCTCAGCCTCCTGAGTACTGGGACTATAGCTGTATGCCATTGTACCCAGCAACAATGCTTTATTCAATCTCAAGAAAGATTTGTACCAGTACACAGGTAGTCTATAACTATTTTACTTTTGTTCTATCTATAAAACTCAGATCACAAAAGAAAATTTCAAATTACCTGCTTTCTTGCTACACTGGTTGTACTGTCTTCACCTGTGGCTCCTGGAAAACATGAACAATAGATTCACTTTAGAGTCTACTTTCCTCTGCACAAACAGAAAGAGCAAACCTGACTCAACTTTCGCACAGATGTGCAAAGACGAGTAAGTACATCACCAATGATTTATTTTTGTCCTTTCCAAACACCAGTCATTTTATTCCATGAGAACTATACAAAGCAAGTGCTTTACAAACAGGCTTCCAGTGAACAGTTATTTGGTGGATTTTGGGCTCTTCAGCAAAACCATCATTTTCTGAAATTACTGAGGGGCTGGTGTGGTATAATACCTCAATATATATGCGTGTTATGCTGTGTATGTGTGTAGAATCTCTCACAACAGCTTGCCGACCACTTATTGCTTTGAAATAATACAATCTTACTGTTTTATGCCAAACATGTCAAGTCCTTGTTCATTTTGTATAAATACAATCTGATTTTTTAATGAGAACAACAGGTGATATTTACTCCATCTCACTACCATGGGCTACAGAAGTCTAATTGGGCTCCCTATCTTAGCCTGCAGGTGAGAAACGAGGCTTTCCAAAATAGCAAGATGATTTTATTTTTATTTTTTTGTATTTTTACCGGTACCAGGGATCAAACTCATGACCACAGGCTTGCAAGGCAGGCGCTTATGCCACTCAGCTAAATCCCCAGCCCCAGCAAGATGATTTTTTAAAAAGGGCTAGAGGAGGGTATACAAGTGTAAAATAGGGATGGGGCTATTCCAAGCAATGGAAGCCAGGAAGAAAGCCACAGGACAGCAGGATGCATCAGTCTGAGATGTGCTGGCCTGCCTGCTGCAGAGCTATGCAGTCCTAGCAGTGTGTCCTACACAGTAGAGGAGAAGGGCTCTGGGAAATGATTACTTGTGTGGTAATGGGGACTGAACTCAGCGGACTCCACCCCTGAGCTACAAACTCAATTCTTGTAATTCTACTTATTTATTTATTTAGAGTCACGGTCTCACTAAGTTGCCCAAGAAGGACACCAGCTTGTGATTCTCCCATCTCAGCTTCCCACATGCAGATTACTTTTAGGGAGAAAAAAAGAAAATAAATTATGAAGTATTTCTTACAAAGGTGGAAGCAGCTTTCTAAAGTTGACACATTCGAACTACAATGGAAGTGGCTGTTTTCTAGAACTTTCTTATTGTTTTAACATATTTAATGACAGTTTTATTGTTTTTCTGTTACTTCTTCTATTTTCCATGTGATCTTGACATGGTCAGCTACATATCTGCCAATGAAGGTATCTTTTAAGGACAAAACTTTTGGGATTGGAAGTCAGGCATGGTGGCTCATGCCTGTAATTCCAGCACTTGCGAAACTGAGGCAGGAGGATTGCTGTAACTTTGAGGCCAGCCTATGCTACACAGCAATAGTGAGACCCTGTCTCAAAGAACCAAAAATCAATACAAAACTCTAAAAATCTTTGGGATTGACTTAACACTTAGATATTTCCATTAGAATGCCAAATATGTGGGAGATTTTCATGCAAACTTTTTTTTTTTTTGTCTTTTTCGTTTTTATTGGTACCAGGGATCAAACTCATGACTGCCTGCTTGCAAGGCAGGCGCTTATGCTGCTGAGCTAAATCCCCAGCCCCCTCATGCAAACTCTTATTAAGTTTGGTATTAATTATGGAAAAGCATCTCTTAGAAAAAATACGTACGCATAGAAACTGGTTAAGATTTTTTAATTTATGCCAGAACTGCAGGGAATGATGCCACCTTTTCTAACTGACAGACTACAGGAGGGACAGCAACTATGATTAAATATTCCAGGATTTATTACCACAAAACCAGGTACTTTGTTTGAAGAAACATGAAGTGCTGTTTTGACAGTCTCCTTTGTCTAATGGGAACCAAATCCAGGGCAGGAACTTACTACACTTTTCCTGTTTGAAGGCAGCAGCTTCTGGAACACGAATATGTTAGTAACGTGCATCTATCCTTCCGGAAGTGTCAGGAAGCCAAGCAAAGTCTGTTGCTTACCCTGAACTTGAAAGAGCTCGTCCTCTCCGATCCAAGTCTCCTTTTCTTCAACCCCATTAGAGCTGTTCCACTTGCCTTTGGATACTCTGAGGGGAGATTAAGGAGGACAAGACATGAAACAAATTCATCGTCACCCCACGTCCTGACCTTACTGACTCCTGGTGTTCACTGAAGGTTCTCCTACACACCACCCTCAAGCCCACTGGCTGGCCAGGCCCCTTCCCGTGAACTCCCGCAGGCTGCGGGACCATCCCTCAAACTCAGCACCAGATAGTACACCTCCATCCCCCTTCAAATGTGCTCTTCTTGTTGGCTGGCTTTGACTCACTGAGGATCTTGGTATTCCAGCCAAGGAGCTGCAAACTCTTCCCTTTCCTTCACCAACAGGCTCTGGTTGTTTCTGGACTGACTTCCTTTCTCTCCCCATACCCTGGGTTCAAACCTAAGCTGCTACGTGCTAGTGTTACAGCGTCTTCTTCCAGAGTTGACTTAAAATGACCACATCCCACATTGCTCCTCTATTTCACGATGCTTCTCGCTGCCTAACTGCCTATGTGGTCAGCTACCCAGGCAGTTTTCTACCAAGGGCCCATCCATCCATCTGCATGGCAAGCTAGGCTGCCCTGCTCCTTCTCCCAGAAGCTCTGCACTTTCCTGAGTCTCCATCCTTCCCGTGAACTCCTGGCCATCGATGAAGGCCATCATTCTTAACACCACCTCCTCTAAAGACTGGACCCAGCGAAGACTGACACCGTCTTCTTTGCCCAACACAGTGCTTACTTCACAACATGC